TTTATGAGATCATCAAGGCCAGGCTTCGCAAATCCTCAGGTTTGGTGTTGATCGAGCCAATTATCTACAACCGTTCAAAAACTTGAGAATTTACTAAGAAATGTATGGATTTCCCTGCAGGTCTGTAATTTCTTAGTAAATTATAGAGTCTGTTAGTGGCTCTCGCGTTCCATGTTGGCTCGGTAACATGATGTAAACCATGTAAACAGCTGACATTCCCCGAGGACATCGCCATCACGGGTTTTCCCGCCAAATGACGTCTGAGGAAAGAGCGCAGAAATATTCCATCCTGATGACCCGTCAACCAAGATCCAGACGGTTTCTGTAAATTTTCAACCAATCAGAAGCAATAACCATATGTGGGTAGTGACAAGGTCATCGATATGGAATTTCTGAGCTCGATCCTCACTTCTCAGACGTCATTTCCAGGGGAAATCAGTACCTGTGTCGCGAATTTTCTTTTTTCAGGCTAGCCACCACTGCTGGGGGGTTTCACCGCGAAACGACGTCTGACAAGTCTGTGGAACGAGTGCAGAAATTTTTCCTGATACTAATGAGCAGCTTCGCAGCTCCTTAATTAGGCGGTATGGGGGGCGATCCATTCAACCAAACTTTTCCGGAAATTTCGGTCCAAAACTCAATGGATCGGTTCGGTCCAACCGGAAAAGTTTCGAAAAAACGGGTCCACCTTTTGAGGCGGTCCTCTTTTCCCGGTCGGACCGGTTGGAATTTTGGTTGAATGGATCGCGCCCATGGTTTTCATGCTAGCGCGAAAGCTATCCTGTATAGAGTGAGCACCATTTCACTTGTCATTCCGAGAATCTTGTCTATTCCATATCCTGCCACCGATGCCCACTTCTTTACACTGGTGAGACTGGAAGACTCTCAGGAGTCGCTTCAGCGAACATCTGCGAAGAATAAGCAACAACACTCCTGGGTGTCCTTTGGCCCAACATTTCAACTCCACTGGCCACAGTATTTCTGATGTCCAGGTGCGTGGCATGGTGTGGCATTATGCAGTGGTACTAACATTCAACGAAAGCAACGTGAGATGCGGCTGACTTTTCAACTAGGCACCGTTCAGCCGAAAGGACTGAATATCAATTTCAGTTTCCTTTGAATTGGGACGTTATGTTCATCCTGCGCAAGCTATCATACAACCTCGTCCCCTGTGCTTTTCCCTCAAAAAAGGGGTGGGGCGGGAAAAGGGCCTTTTCCTGCCCCACCCATTTTTTGAGGGAAAAGCCCTGGGGACGAGGCTGGCTATTATATGCGCGCGTACATCGATCATTTTTATGCTGTATATGAAATACGCTCTTCTCACGTATGGTAATATGCCCGTCTATGGAGCAAAAACTCATTTTTTAGGAAACTTTACGATTAGTCTGCTGCAAAAGCATAAACTTAAAGTTTTCTTTTTTTACCCGTAAACGAGGTTAGACGGGCATATTACCATATGTGAGAAGAGCGTATTGCATAATACTATACAACGGTTTTTTCTCACAATGAAGAAGGATCATAAACCCGAAACGTTTGTGTTTTTTGAAAACATTTGACACTTTTTGATCAGTGTTCTTTAGGGAGTGTCACCTTATCAGCTAGTGTGAACATAGCCTAAGTGAACTGAAGTAACTATGAAATTCTTTGTATTTGTAACTCTCACAAAAGATCATGATAACCTATTGCGATAAACCATTAGCGTAAAATTTGACCTGAAGAGACCCGACCGAAGTTTGGATAACTTCCACACGAATGCGGATATTTTTGAAACAGCATACTTTTTTTTACATGAATCGGCCTTCCGTACACACGAAACCAGTGAATCCGCTCACCAAAACCGCATTGTTTAATTTTAAAAGCACTCCCCACATTATGGTCAAATGTCCGGATTAGTGTCAGTGGAAATGAAACTTTATACCACATAAAAGACGAACTATGCATTAAGTATCTAAAAGAAGATATTTTTTCACCGATCTGTTGATTTTTTGGCAAATGTAGTGGTTAATTTTTGGTCATAAAAGAGGTACGTGGGATTTTCACCTCGCCTGAGAAGTAGGAATTTTTTTTTAATTAAAAACGGTAGGTAATCTGAGGACAACAAGTGGTAGATAGTACCTAGGTCCATAACTGTTACGTATGGTTAGTATTCAGCTGTATTGTGGATCACTAAAGGCTCCTGCTCGCAAAACACGCTGCCCAAATTATTCTGAAATTTATTTATGCTCATCACGTTCAGAAATGATCAAACTGCTCCGCTGAATTTAAAATGTCACTCAGAAAATAGATTTGTGCGGCTATAATATTTGTCTCACTAGTTCCTTGTTTCACTGAAGCTCAAGTGAAAATGAACCTTCCTCCATGATTGCTATAAATAAAAACTGAAACGGTTCTTATTCTATAAATGTCTCTTGATATAGGAAAAGGTAAAGTCTCGGCAGTTCATTGTATTTCTTTTGCTGTTGCCATGCCAGCTGGTAACCGGCTGTGTTTTCCCAATTTTAAAGTCCTTAAATTTACATATACTTTTAATTTATTCTCTATAGACATCCTGCATGTGACCACCTAAAGTACATTAGGATAACTAAGAACACGTCATTAATTTTCTATCGTAGGTTATCAACACAACACGGTCTAGATTGAAGTCATCAGTTGAGAACAACAGTTGGTACATTTTAAAACATTAACTTCCCGAGACAGAAAATGGAGGTAGGACGAAGCGTTTTTATTATCTTCTCAAAAAACTATGATATGAAGGATATTAATTTATGACATGTGCCGCTGCCGACGGGATCTCGACCCGTTATTTTATCTTAAAGGTGCTCTCATTAAGCTGTTTATTTGATGGCAAAAAACGCCTTCAGCCCTGAAAGGCCGCATGTTACAGATAGCACCGATTTTTGATAACATATGTCACGTTATCGTATTTCTATCTGTCCTCAGTAGTATCGACTTTTTTGTCAGTTTACTGAACGGTATAAAAAGTCATGATTTGGTCCGTCATTTGCTATGAAAACTGCTCAAGCAGACGTGGACTCGTTATCAGATTGAGAGAGCGAAAAAATAGCCGTATCCCGGCCGTTCGTTCTTAACGAATTTTTCTGAGTTGAATTTCTTTCGTACTAATTATGTAACTTTCAAAAGGATATCTTTGCTACGAAAAACGGCATATCCTCAGTCTGCAAAGGCAAAAAAATAAATAACAAAGAGAATAAGATAAACTGATACTACGTGGCCAACTGAGAGACTTGGAGTTTGTTTTCTATCGCCTTATTATTTGAAAGTGTTTTTATAAAACCATAATTATAAAATTTGGCAAATAAATATCATACTATCACGAAAAGCAACAGAAAATTATTTTTCTGCAAACACGCATTTACAAATATAATGTAAAACGGGAGGACTCGGAGATATGCCAGTATTTTATACGGTAAATTTGGCTTGTTAGTTTAGTAGAAGCCAGAGTCTCGGTAAACACGAAAACAGTTCACCTTTGAAAAATATTTATGCAAATGCATGGCTACCTGTTTTATGCATATAAAATTCTATAGTCAAGACTAATTTTAGGCACCTCATGACAAAAAAGACAGTAAACGACAGCGAAGTGATATCTATTCAGTTTTTTTGGCCTCAACTACGTAAAAAAAATTAGCCAAGTAAGTTTATTTTTGTTTGTTTGTTTGTTTGTTTTTCAGACATGATTCAGATTGTTCAAAAGTGTTTTTGTTTCCTTTCTTTTCCTATCTGACTCTATAAAGTAAGTGATAAAATCAAAATGTTTTTATATCACAAGAGAGAATTCTCTCTTGTTTTATCATCATTGTTATTTTTAGACCATGTTAAGAATTATGCACCGGTCAATTCCCGCCCCGCCCCGCCCCCCCCCCCCCCCCCCACGGGCTGACCCCCGGGCATTACCTTGGATGGCAAATCCCCGGGGGTGGGGACTCTTGAGCTGTCAAATCCCCCGAGGCGGGGACAAAAATAGAGGACAAATGCCCCGTCAGTTTATGGTTTTAGAAAATTATCGACATTGAAATTAATAGAGCACTGTAAAGTTATATTAAACTATGAAAGGATGTTCTTCAAATAATATCAACAGAAATTTGATTCACCAACCAAAAAACGTTGATTCACGTCGATAGCTCCGGAGTTTCGCCATGAAATTCTGGCTTGATAAGCACTGAAGAAATGCATGCTTAAGATCGAGAACAGCCTTTACAATGCATGAACCTGTCCTTGACAGATGAGCCAATCTTCTGTTTTCCAGTAGTATCCTCTCCTCCTCTGTGTAGTTATATTCTGATAGGAAACCGCGCGCGTGTCAAAAGGTTGGCAGATGCCCGGCCCCCGGGCAGCGCAAATTGTTGCAAATGCCCAACCCCCGCGACTGAAAAGGCGGGCAAATGCCCCCCAGTAGCCTAGGGGCGTTGGGTGCACCTGGAGTTGACTGATGCATTTACCTTCTTATGAAATTTAATTACAAATTCTATTCATATTCATTTTGTTTATTCCCCTTTTAACCTTTATGGCTTTATGGGTATCTAATTTTGCGGTTACCACTTTCATATGAATTGCACGGTTTATAAGAAATTACTTATCGTAAAAGGATAAAATCGTTAACAATTAGTAATGTATCACGAAATCTCTTACAAGTTTTATGCTATGTTTCAATCGTACCCTGCGATCAGGCCTGGAGAAACCACTGCTCGCAGGGTATTTCAATCGAAACTAATAACATAAAACTTGGTCGGTTTGGAAAAAGTTATAGACTGCTGGAGTTAGTTTATTCTTTAGAGAATGTGTGACCTACGACGTTAATTATTCATGAATTGCATGACGAAATTAATTTAGAATAGATTTCACGGTAATGCAATACTGTAGTATACCCCAAGGTTACGAACAAAGATTCTTCGTTTGACGACCTGATCGTTCTTGCTGTGTTTCAATATAGGTTGTTTGACTTACAGATCACCTCGTGGTTACGGTAAACACACCAGAGAAGAAAATCCCTGCCACGTTTCTGATGATAACATCTGATTAGGACAGATGAAAATCCAATCAGAGAGATAAACTTAAAAAATTTTCCTATACAAAGACCGAACAACACGCGAACATGGTAAGTAGCTACATGATTTGGCATATTCTCTGAGTTCAGCTTGTAAAAAAATTTTCTTTGTTCACTTGCTAATTACAATTCTTAATGACTGTTGAACTATAGATTGAGAGGTCTAGACGTTTTTATTTGTCGCTACTTCGAGCGTTCAGTGTGCTGGCTCTTTGCTCGGTGTCTTCTATCACCGCGAACACGAACTCTACCAAGACGACCGAGACACCAAACGGAAATGCTCTTAAGAGTTTCAGTTGCGAGTGGAAAGATTTGGAGTTCCCTATCACTTATGGACCAGGAATTGCTGCATCGCTGTGCGTGCTAATCGGTGGATTCCACTTGATTTTTGGTGAGGATAAAATAGATAGATGTCTATATATTTTCTCGATTGCTTTTCAGCTGCGGCCGATAGAATCTTTCAATCTGCACGCATGCATGGATCACTGACAAAGTTTTTTTTGGCGCTTCTTTCAAACATTCGCTAAACCAAATTTTGAATCCAATAGTTCAGAGACAATAAAAACAACCGGTGGAAAGCGGGTTTACAGGAAACGAGACAATAATGGAGAAATATGAAAAGTAAATGTTGAATATATTTGTGGCTGAGAAGAATACGGATACGCTAGCATTGAAAACTAAAAGTTCGGTAACATTACCGGCCTTACATTGTAAAACAGCGACAGACATGTCCCCCTGCATTTGTAAGCTTTGACGTTATCTCGAAAACGATAGCACTTTTATCGTGAAACAGTATTATTTTAAAAGCCCTTTGTTTTTAATGTGAGCGCGATCGGGTTTAAGATGTTTACACGTTTTCACACGTCAAGAAAGTTCTGAAGAGGCATGTAGATGTAAATGGTTTTTAAATGCTTTCATTGTACCTGTGGTAAACACGGTTACAGCGAGTACAGTGATATGCCGATTACCGTTTTATAAAGACCAAACGTACTTCTTTATTCATCGCCATGGACTATATCGGCCATAGCTAAATTGGGAGATGGGCTAATTTTCGTTTCATTAGCATTTTATAGGTTCATCATTGTTTTGTCTGTGCATGCGTCAGAACAAAAGACGTGATTCCATCTGTTTGTCATATAAGGGATCACTTGCCGTACTTAAATTCTAAAAGTCAGCTGTTGTACACGATATCGTCGCCTTAGAACTAGAACACACTGGCTTTGCGATCGTTTATTAGCTTTCTGCTCTATTGCTCACAGTTTACTAAACAAGACAATCTCTAAGCAACTCGAGTTTGTGTGGTCTATTTCTGGAGCCCCAGTTAAACATCTGTTGTCGTCCACTTCGGGTTGAAACAATTTTAGCTAATTCGTACTGCATACAGACCCGCCATATATATGCTAAGTAAAGTGAGCAAAGGAAAGCAAAGTCAAAGAGAGTGGAGAACCCAGTGGGGGGCCCTTCAAAATGAATCACAAGAGCCATTTTTTAGGGCACAAAATCTCATCGCCCCCCCCCCCCCCCCCCACAAACACAAAAAAATTTTTACACCGACAGCGCATTTCCAGGGAAAATATAAAAATAAAAAAAAAGATGGGTTTCAAAATCAAATATCATTTTCAATTTTTTAAAAAAAAACAAAATAACACAAAACGGGGGTTTTAATTTAAAATATTCACTGCTCTGCAACCACACAAAACACGGACAGTGTTCAACAGACCCAGCGATAAGCAGAGACAAAGAGGGGAGACACGTATAGACTGCATGAGGATGGGCTAACCCGGAGGGGGCCACCTAATAAACCCCCCCCACACAAACTTTTTAGAAAGAAAACATCCAGACCCCCCCCCCCCCCCCCACACGCACACACTAAAAGATATTTAATCCGTAGATGCATATGCAGAGTCAATATTAACCTAAATCAAAGGATTGAGTTCCAAATCTAATCTCATCTTCAAATTTTGTAAAATAATGCAAATTACTGCCAAAGGGAGGTTTCAGTTGAATGCATGCATGGCCTGACAGCACACATACATGCAGGGACTTTGTCCAATTGACTTTGGGCTTCTCATGAGCTGCCAAGAAGACAAAGCAGGCATTCTACTGTCAGCCTTTTTAACCTGTGCTTTTATTGTCATTCCTAAATTAAAATGGCAGGGACCTTGCTCTTCTTAATCTGGCCAATTCATGACTAGTTGTATTTTTATCAGATTAGTCATGGAAATTGTATCTTAACCTTAAGATCAATGTGATCCATTAGACATCTTTTGTTTGTGTATTCAGGGCAGTGGGTTATCTTTCAAAAAATCATTAATATTTAATCTATGTTTGCTTTTTTGCATTTAAAAATAATTCTTCTTCTTTTTTTCATCCAGTAATTTTTTATTTAAACATCCTCTGTCAGTTTTATTAACTCTTTATTGCTTTCAGCTTCCTATCATATCATTATGAACTTATTATTCTCACTTTTCCCTTAGTCCAAAATGTCAGCCATCTTCTCCTGGGGAGGAGAGGGATGACATTTCAGACTACTTTTCCCTCAAAAAACCTAATTGGTTTGTTTTGTTTTTATTTTGGGGGGGAGGGGGTGTGGTTCAAATTTATTTTTACAGCAAACAAGTTATTGACACTGCTTAATTGCATTAATTTAGCTTTATTAGGCCAGTTTCAAACGCTGTGCTACGGCCCTGAGGAAATAAAATGATCAAAATAAATTGACTTTACAACGCAGTAGCGGGACGTTTGAAACCAAGTCATGCTACTGCAGCTTTGCTGTGCTACATGGCGGTAGCTTGACTTGGTTTCAAATGTCCCGCTACTGCCGTACTACTCCTTAAAGGCAAGTGACTATGGGGTTGTTGTTGTTTTGTAGGATTCAAAAAGCAAAGAGCCACTCTATTCCTGACTGGATTTTCATCTGCAGCATTTCTTACATACATGATATGCTTAATCAGAAGTTCTCTTCATATTCAGTACATCCTTCTCATAACAGCTGCTGTGGGCATCTTTGGAGGAATCCTCTGCACAACAGTGATTTTCTGTGGACTATTTACCAGTGGAATTGTCGCTGGGTTTAGCTTATCAATGGTCTTCCTTTTTGGCTTGGCATCACTGTACCAGTACACTACACTCTCAATACCCATTGGTGTACTCGTAAGTGTGAGCGTTTTATTGGCAGGGGCTAGCGTTTGGTGGAAGCGTGTTCTTCTGATCATTTCATCATCAATTTATGGGGGTGTACTGATAATGGGAGGGATAGACTACTTTATTGAGGACTTGCGGTTGGTCCACCATGCTTGGGACAAAGTTTTTATAAAGCAAGACACAGGAAAACCTTGCTTTTTCTCTTGGATCATTCTTGGAGTTTGGCCTCTTATGGTGCTTGTTGGTTTGTTAGTCCAGTTCCTTAAGACAGGAAAGAAGCCTCCAAAACCAGCAAAGGGTGAGAATCATCGTAGAAATCATTCAAGTCAAAATGACCAAAGTTTCCAGCTTGTTTAAAGGTGCTTTGTAATGATATTTTATAGAATATTTGTCTGAAAAAAAGAATAGCTGAGGGATTTTACAAAAGTGTTTTTGACTTTCTCATTGTCATTGTCATTTTCATTTGTACATAGTATCACCAAATTTAAGCATAAATTTTATTAAGAAACAAATAGCATGTAACAGACCCATAAATCTATCATTTTAAAACTTGTTTGTTTCCCCTCTGCTTGTCCTTTTCTACTGGATAGTAATTTGGCGGATAGTGCTATCCAACAATTTGAACGAGAACGGCCAGGACAAACTGCAACTTTAATTTTCCATACAAACACTTCATTTTGTGGGTCGCATAGTACTTGACAACTTGCACCTGTCACTTATATTAGAAATGGTAGATTTAAGCAAGTGGTCCGTATATAGTAACTTCTGACAGTAGTACACATGGCAACAACTTTTTACAGCGAGTTACTGCTCTTCACCAAAAATGTATGGCCATATTATGTTTTAACATGATTGACACTATAAGTAATGCACCTGCATTTTTTTATTTGTATGTAAATAATACGTTTTATTTAAATTACATGTAGATTCTTTATGCTTGCATTAAGTAAATGCGGATCGGAAGGTTTGAGCATAAATAAAATACATTGTGTGGAGTTATGAATACTGTATCAGTAAATTGATAATTATTTAAAATATTATTTTTAATTGTTTAGTTTCTAATGGCATCAGTACTGTTAAACTATACTTACATTCAACAGACAGACTAAAGGGGTGCCTGGATTAACTCCCCAGTGACTTCTAATGAACTGCTAAAATTCTTTCTCATTCTGTTTTGCTTATGTGTTAATCAAACGGAGGATTGATTACAGATCAGTGGTCACTTGGTACTTTATTCCAGGCACCCACATACAATGACTATCATTTAAGGGCCTGTTTACATGGTGGTGGGTGACCCCACGTAGGTGACGTAACCCGCTTAGTTGGGGTAACCTGCCTGTCCATATAATCTCTCATTTCAATTTGATCACGTTTACATGATAGGTTGGGTGATCTCCGCATGGTACCTCACCTACCTGGGGTTCCCCGCCTCCATGTAAACAGGCCCTAAGTCACTGTAAATAGAACATTTTTATCACAAGAGTGGATTATTACTGACAGAGCTACGAGATTTGTGTGAAATATTTGTAAGCCTGTTGTGTTCGAAGCTTGTATAAGGGGGTTCAAAATTCAAAGTTTACAGGTGTATGATGAAAAGCATAAATTATCCAACTGACTTTCCAGATCAAGGAGGGCCCCCCAAAGCCTTTACATTTGGGAAGGTACAAGTATGTACTTGTATATCCCTTCCAGTTGAAAGCTGCGAACAACTGCACTACTTTATTATACTGTTGCCAGCAGTAATATCTGTTATAATGTGTCAAAAGTTGAACTTTTTAACTTAAGTACCATTTTAGAAGTTTTTGAATTTAGGAACCATGTAATGCTGTTTGAGAGGGCAAGGTAATAGAGATTTTTTGGCAATAAATGATTTAACAATGTTGAGAACTATCTTTTTTTTTCCATTTACGAAACTTCATTTTAAACAGTAAATAGATCTTATTCACAATACCTGCCATCTTTGCTCACACTTAAGAACTGATAGGATAAAAGCGATGTCACTGTGTTACTCAGGGGCAAACAAGTGATAAAATCTCCAAATTTAAGAAATCACGGATGAATTTATTATTTTATTCTACATAACAGGAAATGAAGAACTCTTTACCTTAAAAACAAAAACGGGAAATTTTATTTATAAATTTATTTCTTTGGACACAGTAGTAGTTATCATAGATGTCCTCACAGCTAAAAATAATGATGTAAAACATGTTGAAACTCGAATTGTACATTTTGCATGACTAAAATTGTTGTTTTGTCTTGAGAGAATACACAAAATTGACTGCCATTCCTCATATTGGCCTAATTTATCACTTGTTTGCCCCCTGAATTACCATGTGACATTGCTTTTAAGCCATCAATCCTAAAAAATGTGCAGATGGGGTGTATCATGAATAAGTTCTATTAATATCACTCATATTTTTATCCTTACATCCATGCGCAGACTTTCACAACAAGCATTATTCAATGGGATCTCCATTTTACTCGGCACCTGATGACATAGAAATGACTGAACACCTTGTGGAGCAAGACCAAGCACCTCCAACCCCATCCCTGAATATGGACCACACCCCACTAAGGTCACCTTTGCTAATGGGCGAGGATGACTAATGTATCACATGGACAAAAATCATGAACAATCATTATTTTTGTTGGGCACCAAGTTATTTTTGCCTTTTTATCATGATCATCACTGTCATCACAATGACTACAAAACTTAGCAATCTATTCATAAAAGGAACTAAACAGTTTTTACCAAGGTCTTGGATTCTGCATCCTCTCTGAATATGTAGAGTTCACACTAACTGGAAGTTTAGCGGAAGTCAATAGTGGTCCTTTTAGAAAGTTAAGAGAAATTTCTCCGGACTGCTTTTAACCACATACTTGTCAGAATATAGCCTTAGTTATACTATAGTTAATTACCACTAACATAAAATTCATATGTAAAAATTGAAATCTGTACTGTAAAGTAGTGATTGTTTAAAGGTAAAAGTTCAAAAATTGTACATTAATGTGTATCAGAAAAAAATATCAAATTACTATAAAAAAGTCTTTGTCAAAAGAGGCACGTAACCAGCTGGCCAGAACCCCCCAAAATTGCCTGGTTCGACCTTCAAAGGGAACTCAAAGGGCTTAACTCAAGATTTTTTCTTGTGCTAACTCTATGTTCTGGAAAACTTCAAGGCCATAAAAGTAGTTCAAGATAAGACAATATTTTGTTTTCCCAGTTTTAAAAAGAATGACAACTTAATGTTGTGGCTTTGCACTTCAAACACAAAAATACAAGGAGAGAAATGAAACAATGTTCTTTGAGTCAATTAAGGTAACATGTAAATATAACAACACAATAATTTACTTTGAACCAAATGCAGAATAATCCCAAAATTCAATCATAGGTCTTTTTTAACCAAAGGCATTCAATTTTGTAAATAAAAAGTTATTCACCAAAACAGTTAGCATACATCATTACTGATTATATTTCCAAATGCATCAGTCAGTTAGTTTGAAAAAGTGTTTTTGGCAAAAGGGAGATTTGAGAAAAGAAATTATTTTAGAAAAAACATCTGGCCTGGCTACAGCCCTCATTATCCTTTTCTGATTCACGCTGTAACCATAAAACTAAACACATAAAATAATATAACTAGCTAATATTGCTTTTCCATCAACAAAAATTACTGTTCGTATAATAACGTAAATGTGACCAGTATACATGTAAAAGTAGTGGTAAATCATTATTTTGTACTTCAACAAATAATACTCATTGTAAAATAAATAGTGCTCATGCAAAAAGCCAATAGCCAGAAACCACCACATAAGTACATATTTTATAAAGTGGACACTTAATGCCAGTGTGGGAATTTTTTATATCTTTATTATCTAAGAACGAAAGAAAGAATTCCTTGGAAAATTCTTGGTAATAAAATCTTAACAGTTTTAAAAATATTACTTATGAAACTACAGGGTTAGTGTAACTAGACAGAGAAAAAAAAGGACTATGAAATGCTGAAAATAAGTCATCCTTGCAAATAATTTATTGATAGTTTTACAAAGGAACAAAAGGCTAAATCATAATTATTTATTAGAAAAGAATGTTTAGTACATCGATAATTTAGTTAATTCAGGTGTTCAAGAACAAGAACGATTAAAAATATTTTATGGCTAAAAAATGAAATACTATAATGATAATAAAATATTACCAGTATATTATTAAAGTTGTTTGTAATAATTTTATTATGACATAGAAGGCTAAAGTAATGTATTATTTATTGAGTTTACAATTTTGAGCAACATTCGTGTATTGTCACAAATAAAAAGAACCTTTGTACAGTCTACTTTATCTCTCCTGGTTAACTTTTTAAACATTGTCTGAAACAAAGTAGAAGCTTTAGGACTGCTACTGAAAAGTTAGCTTTCATAAGCTCAAGTGATATTCACTTCATAGTACCCAAGCTTCTATTGAAGTGCATTGTATGGTGGCCTGAAACTGGGGGAGAAAGAATCAGGTGAAAATAACAATATATCCAATATCTCCAGTGGGGGAAAAAACCTTGAATTCCAGTCTGTCCTTTGGGCAAACTGCCCTCATATTTGCTTGCCCAGGACCACTTCTTGCTTGTGAAAGTTAATAATTTGTTAGAGAATGAGTTATCGGGATCCTTGTTCATTGGGCAAATAAGTTAAAAAGTTGCTTGCCCACAAGAAAATCCACTCTTTCTGGATGGGTCTTTTTTCTAACCCTATCGCTGAATTACACTTTAAATCGTTTGACCCAAACCAACTACTTCAGTTTTAATCATTTCAGCTTCTCACTTCTGGTCTTCATGAGGCAATGTACAAGCATTTATTTTGGTTTTCTTATCTATTACATGTACTTGCATTCTGTCAAGTAACAGCCAGCTTGGCAGGCGTTAAAAGGGGAAGGGGAAGGAGGAATTTGGGCGTGTGAGAGTGCATGGGGCGCGCAAGGGAGAAAGGAAAGGAACGCCTGCAAGGACGCCATTGTTTTCTCCATTTTTCAGGCTCAGATTCTGAGCGTGAAAAGTGAAAAAGTGATTGGTCAGAATTAATTAAATGTCAATCTTTGACTTAATACCTTTTTCTGATTGGCTGACATCAACGTCATGCCATTTTAGTAGCTAAACATATGTCGTCAATGAAGCATGATGAGATTTCGCTACGGGAATTCACCGTTAGAAGCCATCAATTTCAGCTTAAAAGGAGAATAGAAAAAAGCAGTTAAAGAACCGTATGAAGGAAAAGGCCTGTCAGCAGATGAGTTTTACTGACTGTTTCTGAAAAGTATCATTTCCCAACGGCTTGTTGATTTTACTCACTAGAAGAAAGAAAGGAAAAATCATGCCCCCGTTTGCTTGTTATCTGCTGTTTGACCCGCTTTATCAACGGGCAAGATAATTGAAGACAAAGTGATCTAACTTTTGGCGGTTTTTGGTAAAGGACTTCTTCTCGCTGGTTATAAAACTGCCAGGAACTTACTTTAATAATAAATTTTTGCCTTCTTGCAGATCTTCGAAGTTCAGCTCTTCTATCCCCACCACCAGTGTTCGTGATCCAATGGATCCAATTCGTCCTGATAGAAATTCAAAGAGTGCATGACGGAAAAGTGTTTTAATTTTTCTTAGCCAAGCATTGCATTGAAAGTTGTGAAGAGCTGCTACATTTCTTATTATAAATAGTTTTCCAGCCTGATTCCTTCAGCAACAACTTGAATAGATTTATGCTGGATTTTATGTAACTTGGCATGCATCATTGCAACTTTCAAGGAAGATTCCTTCGATGGACGACCGCATTTTAACTTTTTTTATTGTACCTTCAGGGTTGTCATAATTAAGAGCCGGGGTCCGGGGATTTTCCCCAGCTACTAAGAGAGTGGCCCCCGGCTACTTTTATTGGAAAATAGAAGAAAAATAGAACCAAAAGAAATCCCTAGCCGTTTGATTCCCCGCCTACTTGTTGTATCTACCCGGCAACTTGAAATCTTAGTGACAACCCTGACCTTTACTTTTAGATTTCTTGTTTTAGGAAAACAAAAGAAAAACAGTGTGAGAAATATGACTAGAATGCCTACATCATGGCCAGACTTATTTGACAGCTAGTTATTCACAGTTGCTTTATTTTTGTTATTTTTTTAATTAGTAGGTCGGATGGCTAAAACAATGGCTTCCTTGCAGGCGTTCCCCTCCTCCCTCCTCCCTCGCGCGTGGTCTTGTGCCCTAGTTCCCTTCCCCTTCCTTGCAGGTGGAATGGAGAACATGTGGTCCAAGTTTGAGCTTCCGGCGACTTTTCCTCTGGGCGCTACTCAGAGTGGCGACATGAAAAAGTACCAAATTTTTTATGTGTCTTTAGGGGGGTAAACCTAACACCGAAAAAATCCACGCGGGCTAGTCAAGTAAATATACATTCCCATTAAACCAACTCATACAGATATGTAACTAACAAAAACATTTATTTGAAATTAAATCAAAAGGGAAACTCCATATTACAAAGGCAGTTTACTCTAGGATTGGCTTCTCATGATAATCGAAATCATCTCTACAATTACACCAGGTTTATCGCATCAAACTAAGCCACAAAATAAGTTAAATGTTTTTGGTTAAATAATAATACATGTAAAATTCCACCAGAAACCAACTTCAAAAAAATGCACCTGTAATTAGTGTATTTTATATTTACAGTCACATAGGGGTACAAAAGTTTTGCTTCATGGCCGTGATGGATCTTGAATGACAATCATCAGGTATTCTTTGTCTAAAAATAAAAAGACAAAAAATTGACATTTGCTAGAAAAAAAATGCTTAAAAGCATAGAGAGTAGGGCACGTTTATTAGACAATGAGTTCATTCAAGAGATGGCATCCATTAGCTCATTCGACATGATAATAGCGGAGCTCTCGCGCACGAAGCGCGCAGCGGAGCACCATGGGTAAGAAAATGTGGTAAACTACCCATCCAAGAAAATTTGATAATCACGTGACCGTACACCGACCGCCCGCCCGACCGTTCGTCCGCACCACAGGCATACCAATGTAAAACAACTCAATCAACAGGTATGGCAACCCAAATGCAACTCAAGGTTATTTTGCAGGAAGTCGCATAGCTACTCGCGTCTTTTGAAGCAGAGACAACTAAGGCGTCAATGAATACGAAAACGGAAAGCGGAAATTGTTTCTGTATCCGTGTTTTCTAAAGTATTAAGCTTAGATTAATTGTCATGTCCACAAATTTGGGATATAGAGCAAGAGAAAGACCGAGAAAAAGAGAAAGCAAGCGGCAGGCCAGCGAAGCTCAACGAGAAAAAGGGCAGGAGAGATCTAGGGCGCAAGATAAAAAAAAAAAAAACAAAGGAGGTATTTTTTTGTTGAAAGAACAACATGAAAATTTTGTAGCAGCGGTAACAAAATGAGAAATGCTAGCGGCCACCAATGCAAAATGAGCGGCAGTGAAAAAAAGTGAACAAGAAAACGTGCGACATTTCCTCTATAAAACGTGTAGCTAAGAAGTTTCTGGAAGTTTCACGTTGTGTTCGTGCAAAACAAAGTCAAAGAAATGTACAAAAAAAGTGTGCTGCACGTGCAAAGTTGCTTTTTTGCTAATTAGACCTATTGTTGTTTTTAACCGTTCTCCGGCGTTGCCTTCACCGCTTAGCATTACACGATTTTATATTTTGTTCGAGCAAACTATAAATATTATCGAGAGCTTCGCTTTTAGCCCTGGCTAAATCTATATATTATGTACATGTACACTGTAATAAAATAATAATGGGACCTCTTCTGCATACAGAAATAGTCTGCACTATATAATATATGCACCAATTCCAATTTCTTGGCATCAGAGACACAGCATGTAAAGTACATGTAAATCACTACATCAAATTACATGATTAAGCTAGGCTTTATTTTCAGAGAATTAAAAATGTGTACAACACTAAGATCCATTGCTGTGACTGCCACTGCTCAGATAGTGGCATGTCTGAGGGAGAGATAAAAAGTCATTGCATGTACCCCTTCTAACTCATGATTCAAGACAAAAATTCTAGGAACTCACCGGGAGCAACCATGATTTCATGCTTTTTTGAGCGGATTCTGAGGAAAGTTAGATCGTTCTGGAAGAAAAAAGATAGACCCTGTCAACTTGCCCAGCACTTTGGTCATCTTTCTTGAAAGTACTTCTTTGGGACATGGTAAAAAATAATAAATTATTTTTAACAAGTCATAGTAAGCTTGACAGAATCGGAATTGGAAGAATTAGAACATTTCCATTTTCTTTTGACTTCCCTTGTGACTCTGTTGCTTACATGTACATTCTAGTGAAAACCAGATTGTGAGAGTCGGAATTCAAACAGAAGCAAAAGGAAAACCCAATTACAATGCTTGTTCCAACGCTTTGCAAAAAGATTGGTTAAGTTCGTCTGCTTCTACGCGCAGACTACACAGTTTTACTACATTGAAGGATTGGAGGCTTCGGAGTTGTAAGTGGAATCAGAATGCTGTTTTATTAGATCAAAATGCTCTATACTTCTGACTTGTTCAAGGGTTGGATAACAATATCCATGGGATAAATCTCTATCCAGTCGATAGCTCAAGTGGTTCCCCTAGTACTTATCCACCTGAGAGTGATTTATCCAGTGGATAGCAGTATTTAAAGGAACAGTATCCCGTTACTGTGCATGCAAGAAACTTTGATTTTTGGACAGGATGTCGCGAAATCAAAAGATGTGAGGAGAGTAAGAGAACCTTGAAAAATCTGTTTGCATCGCGCTTAGCCGAGTTTGATACTATACTAAAACTTCTCAGGATTACAGATCAATGATATATTGTTCCCGTTGAGTTTCGATTTGGGCGAAATAGGGATTTTTTGGCGTTACTTTTATTGCTGTTAGCCGGAGGCTTATTTCTTCTGCCAGCTTCCATACAAGCTCAGATAATTGTGAAAGGAATATGCAAAAATGAAACAGCAACAATAAGGACTGTAAGAAAGAAACCATTGAGACATGGATGTGACTGAGAAGATCTTGTGAAATTAAGCTTCCTGAAGCAGAATGTTTTGCAACGACGCATTAGTAAACTTTTAAATGAATCTCTGTATGGCCGACAAAATCAAACAAACAGGCGCTACATGTTTAGAAAAACTAGTGCAATGAAATCATAACATCATTTTTGACTAACCTTTGCGATAATTCATCGCGTTGAGATTGCATTTTTGTTTATATCTTACAAATGTTTGAGGCTAGAACGCGAGCAAATCAGCCAAATATTACTGGACTTGGAACAATTGACCTCTGACACGAGTTTCACATTAGAAAAGCTGTTTTTAAAGGGAGCGGAACGAGATTTTCGGGGCCGTGAGGCGGCCCTGCTAGCGACAAAATTGCGATGAGTCTGCGTGCCGCGAACCAAATTTTAAATAACACAAAACACTTCTTCGAAAGTCTAAAATGTCACTTGAGAATGTAAACAACAAATCTCCGTCGACGGTGCGGTCCGGAGGGAAATCTTGTCAAGTCACTTTGACAGGTCTATTGTCTTTTGAAGGAAAAACAGATAACGCTCACGCGTGCGCACAATCGGGACACTGTTCCTTTAACATTTGAACGACTGGGACCTTAATATGACTCTTACTCTACTGAAAACCAGCCCTCACTGGCCAAGACTCTAAGTAACACAGTAGCAAATTGGATGCTAAGGAAATAGTTGCTTTCACTGCCAACAATGCTTTGAATCAAAATCCACCAGCCATGATTTAGGTTCATGATACACCATCACAACACGATGGTGCTGCTGATAGCTCTGGTCCCAGTTGTTCAACTGGATAAATATCACTACCCACTGGATGACGCAACTGGTTTCGTTAACACGAATTCGCTGGATAGTGACTTATCCAGTGGATTTTCGATAGTGCTATTCATCTTTTGAACAACTGGGGCCTGCTCACCTGATTTGATGATGACCAGCTATATGCGACGGAAATGTTGGGATAAACATTGAAGCGACTATATACGATCATTTTTCAGTAGTACTTTCACATGTTACTATTCTTATGCCGTATAAACTGGTTCAACCTTTGCAAGCTTAGCCTGTACATGTAGCTGAAACTGTATGTTGCTCTTATGTTCAGGAGTACTTTCGTATGGTTTATGGTACCATTTGTTTATCAATTTATCACAAAAGTAACTTCAGTACTTCTTCAAATAAATACTTTTGTCATTCCTTGGGGCGAACTTTCTTACAGTTTACAAAGCTCACCTGAGGATCGATGTCGCGAACAGTGCTGCGAGCTTTCGCTGTCAATTGATGAATTAATCCAGCGTACTGAACTGTCGTTGAATTATCCATAGTCGTTCTTATAGGAATTCCTGCAGTATTAACGAACCAAAGAACGAAATAAGCACTTAGGAAGCTAAGTAATCTACCCGAATACGCCTTAAGCGAGATAGTACTTCGCGTATTTTGATAAGCCATCAAAATAGATCTGAATAGATCAAAACAGCTGAGTTTCTCTACCTTCCTGATTGACGATGACTATTCCGACAACGCCTTTATGGCCCTGGATTCTCTTAAGCGATTCTTCGACTTCAGACTGCAAAGGGATAAAAAAAAGTCACGATAAACTATGACTACAAAGACACAAAAAGTTCAAAAAGTGAATCAAGATGCCAACCATTCTGACTTCTTCTCTTGTTTTTTGGGAACGTTGCCACGGAACAGTGAAACGCTAGGAACTATGGGACTATATTGAGCCTTCTTACAGACTAGACAGCAGTATATATAAAAAAAGTATGCGCACTCAATCGCCCTTGAATAAAACTTTCCTGCTGACCTCGAAAGTGCGGGCTCCTACGTTCAAAACAAAATGCCGGAATATGTTGTGGGGATAACTGTGGGGATATTGTTGTGGAATGTGAAATGTTGTTTTTGACTACAGTTGATGATATTCTGGTTTTCGTTGAGTTTTCTGACACTTTGGGGAAAGAAGCAATGTGTGGATGTTCATTATGACGGTGGATATCTTAACTGATGGACAGGAATGGTCAAATCACAGTGGTAAATTGATGGCCCAATCTTAATGACGTTTGACTTTTTCATTTTAACTACGATCTAATTTTTCACATTCATTTAAAGCTAATGAATGTAAAGTATACGTACCAGGCCTAACTGTCTAAAAAATACCTCTTAAGTCAATGAAATAATATTAAGACATAACCCAACTGATGAGCTGATCATGAGTTGAGCATAAGTCTTTGTCATTGAAACCACAAATTCATCTTACACTGTTCTAATCAACGTCGACTTTTTTTTTTATTTTAAAAGTGGTGAATTTAGTCATTAATGGGGTTTATACACAGGTAAATAAACAGAAGTATTTCGATGACAGCCTCACAACCCTACCCTTTACAAACTTACAGTACTACATGTAATATTTTAACCCTAACCTTAAGGTAATGTAGCTGTTGTAATGTTATAACACCCTCTGAGATCTCCATAATTCTTCGGTTGATACAAAAGCCGAATTCGATAATTGCTATATTATTTATCATTCAAAATAATTCCTAGTTTAAAAACAAGCTAAAACATGCTTGCCTCCATTGATGTTAAGTTCATCTTCGATAGTACATGTTCAGGGGCATAGGCAGGATTTTTCAAAGGGGGGGGGTTACAGAGGCTACTCACCAGATTGTCATGTCGACCTCCACGCCGTCCATGTTTTACTTAATGTTACAGTTTTGGGATGAGCAGTGAGAGTATAGTGGGCAGGACAAGCCTACAAAATAGCTTCTAGCCAGCAGTCGTATTGTCATGGCACAAAGGCCCATATTAACTAAAGACAAGAGCCGTTTACGAAAATACTTAACAAAAAAATTTTTAAAAAAGTGGGCTTTTCAGCAATGGCTTTTACGGCCAAGATATTGTCATGGCGTTTTTGCCACCTGAATATTGTGGGTTGTTTGCTCAAAAGAAGGCCTACCAAGCCCCCCCCCCCCAGTGCCCGTGGGGAGGACCCCCTCTCCCCCTAGCTACATCCCTGATGTTTACAGGCAAATTTAGGAGATAGGGTTGTTCAGGTCTGCAATTATTTTCCAAATACAGTGCTGTCAACTCTCCTGGATAATCCGGGAGACTCCAGCTTCTGGAGTGTATCTCCCGGTCTCCAGATTAGAGTTTGAAATCTCCCGGATAATTGCCCAATTTTGCCATTTCTTCAGTGATCTTCAGTAGACTCGACTTTCCGGCTATAAATTTTCAACTCTTTTGCATTGTTTGAGCTGTTTTAATGTTAACATTAAGCATTTCCTCATAAACACCTCCGGTATGCCATGACAGTAATATGATTGGTGGGAAGTAAGCCAATCAGGTCATATGTTACAAGGCAAAAACATCTTTTTCGCCTGTTTTGGCTCACCGCAAATTTCTGATAATTGGAGAGTATTTTAAGTTCAAATGACATCATGTGCCATGCATTATGACGTCATCTACCATCCCTCCCCTATCAATTCTCAATATTTGAATACGTCCGGGGTTGACAGCCCTGCAAATAGCAGATGTCGTCCATTGAGTTGTCTTCTTGCTGTTCTTGGTATGTTTTTAGCCAATAGTTTGCCTGCAAGTGCTTCTTCCTCGTGAAATGGGCGAAATGTTTTGCTGTTTTGTAGTCACCATCAAAACAACTCAACCTTGTCCCAGGGTCTATCTGGTTAACGGTTCAATAATCTGGCAATTTTGTTGCACGATTGACGTCATTTTTCACATATCACAAAATTCTTCCAAATTTGGTTGACAATAGCTGGTTGTGATGAATTATGCATGGCATTTTAGCTAATCAGAAATGGAGGAATGTTTTGAATGAATAATGATATTTATTATTGAACACTCAAGCACACTGGTTTATTTACTTAAGCTTACAGATGTTCAACATTAATCAAAAATGTGCTGTCTCAGACAGAATTGCGCCTTATATTGAAACATGTCAATGCTAAATGCAAGTTTTTCTGTCAATCAATTGTCTCCTATTATTTGTAGGTGACAAAAAAAATACCAGAGAGATCAAGTTATGTGTATATCGTCTTAAAGCGCATTGCATGACTTTATTCCATTACAGCATTTCTCATAACTTCCCTGCATTGAGAGGTTAGAATAAAGAGTGTGAAGCAAAGCTTAAAAAATCTTCATAGTCAAAATCAACAGTGTGCCCAAAACGGCAAGCATCTGAGAAATCAAAGGTGACATTTTTTTCTACAGTGAAATCCACCAAACATACAAAATGTTAGAGCGCACAAAATGTTGGGAAATTAAGGTAAAAAATGGTGTATGAGCACACCTTTCTGCTCAAAGTTTAGAATTAAAATCAAGGGTATGGCTTGTCTACTGTATGAGACTATGAAAGATTTTGAACATCATTAACGACAACACAGACACTAGTACTAATGGTTATCCATTTTAGGGAGATAACTATTCATCATCCATTTGAAAGCTATTGAAAATCCATGCAAAGCGTTTGACAAGGAGTTCAGTTGGTTAGAATGGTTATCTGTTTCCTCTTCATTAACATCTGTTCAAATGGTGTTATAACCATTCATTAATGATTGGCATACGTTGTTCATTCTAAGAATCATTTAAAGGTCCATTTTCTTCATCATTATCTGATTTCATCATCATCCTCATGACAACTCTATGCCATGCAGCATAAATTTTAACTCCAACCAAAAGGTATTCCTTGAAGAATTCAGGCCATACCAGGAAAATATATTTTATCTCATAGTGAGCCTTGTTCTTACTGTACCTTATGCAGTTAATAATGGCATTACTCTGATTTGGCCAAGAACCCATTACTCTCCAAAATATAGATACCTACATGTATAGTACCGGAAGAGTCTTAGGATTGTCAGCTGAGTAACAAAGGAACATGGTTCACTATGACAGACGTTTTAACAAACTGATCAAAATTTTCTATTGCAAATTTTTAAAACATTGGAGTCTTGCTTATTTGTGAAAGCAGTCTCCTTCCTTTTTTATTTTTGTTACAAATTGAAAATGGGAAATTTAAATATTTAGTGAGTCTTATAATTTATGTATGATACAGATTTTGTCTTTACCTCAACTTTACTGGCGTTATAAATTATATGTTCGTTTATTGCACAACTGCCAAATAATATGTACCATGTGTATGTAAAAGTTATTGAAGAACTGTTTCAATTTAATGCAAATTTGTCAAGTGCATTCTTCTCAGACATGAACTGATGTCGTGGAAACAAAATTAAAGCTGATTTAGTTATATTACTGTAGCTTTCAGCAAACAATTTTGGGCCTATCACATGACACTTAACAGTTATGTATGTACATTGTAACTGTAAAATATTTAAATACTCCTCAGTTTACTGAATAATGATCTCCAGTCAGCCATTAAAATCAGTTTTGGAACAATTTTTTTTGAAACACAGCCAACATGTGGTCACAACAATGAACTAAGCAGTTTCACTGATTATGCTTGGCTTATTTTAAAACATTCTGAATGTTATATGTTCCAATAACTGGATCAACGTGGTTTATAATAAGTGATGTATAAGCACAAATATCATAACACAAAAGGGAAGCATAAAAAAGGTAACAAAAATGTCTAGAAAATACTGAATGATAATATATTTTCATATGTTGCTGAGAAAAAACTAGTGTGTGGTGCAGTAAGTACTGTATGTGCTTTTGTGGTATCTGAATTCTTGACTCAAAGGCTTTATTTTGTTTTACTAATCTGTTTGAAATTAGCGTGGTTTTCATAATTAATCTCTTGTTATAGGAAGATCAGAATTACGAATAATTTCTTTGCAGCCAAATTTATATCATTTGATAAAGCTGAGGGTATGTTAAATGTTGTTTTGTTCTTTTAAGGAACTACATGCGTCATCATTTCTTTGTCATAAATTTTTTGAGTTTTCATTTCTAATCTGTGTTAACTTGTATTTGCTTCATCCCGGTAAACCGTCATTATTCTTAAATGGATAAATTATAAATTTTGAACTTCATTTGAAGTTTGTTTACTAACTTTAATTTTTATGTAATCAAGTGAGAAAAGATTCTCTTTAAGCACCAAATTAAGACTGCTATAAGGGCAACTGTGAAATTGGGAAATAATGTATTTTTTTCATTAGAACTAAATTTATTGCTTACACTGCGTGGTTACAATGTATTTCACCAGGAACCAGTACCTTTGAGTTGAAATGTTACCATAGACTTTGAAAGTGAAAAGTTACAACTGAAGCTTTATTTTTCTAAGAGTAGCCTTTTGGCAGAGCAATAAGTAATAAAAAAAATATTTTTGTTTTAAAGCAGACTGAGCTGTTTCTTATATATGTATTATAATATTATTTGAAATACTTGCCAACTCGAAGCCTGTCTAATCTGTCATGTTTAATTGAAAAATTAATCCATTGACCAGTTTTATCTTGTCACTTAAGTTTGTCAGTGCTATACATTGATTTTGGCACTGTTCAGCTACTGCAGTGTCACTTTTGTATATACAATAGTTTCAAAACAATTGTTGGAATATGGCCTGTAGATTAACTCCATTTCATTGACAGCATAAAAATGTTTGACTTCAATGTTGAACTCAAACTGCATAGAAGGTCAGAAGTGTTGGGAACTCTCCAGTGATATTGATCAGTAAAACTTAAGTGACTCCCACCACAAACAATGTTGACTTGTGAACGAAATGGATGGAAATGAGTCCTTTTTTGTGCACAACATTGCTGGGGGTGGGGGGGGTGGGGGGAGGGGTAACAAAGGGATAGTCCCAAAGCTGATCAAAACATTACAACATGTAGGCCAGAGCAGAGTCCTTTGTAAAACGTTTTTGGAAGGGTTTTTTCTGTACTAAGTTCTTTTGACCCTCTCAAATAGAACAGGATTCAGAACGGAGAAGAAGTCAGTCTCTGAATCCTCTTTTTGTGAAAAGCTTTTCTGTGTATTTTAATTTGCACTCATGATTGTAATTCAGCAGTCAAAAAATTAAATCACTGACAGCTCAAAGTTAATACAGTTGTGTGGGTTATATTATAATATTCAATTTCAAGAATTTATTTTTATTTTGTGCAAATAGGTGGATCTGATGCTGAGTATGATGAAGAAAGTGAGCTTTTTGAGCAGGAATGTGATGTCTTTATGAAGGATTTTGTGGCAAAAATCTTCTTAATCAAGTAAGTTACTTATCTTCCATGTAACTCGCAAGGATATTTTTTCTGAGTCACATATATTGACATTGGACAATTCCAGTTGCTAGTGGCGAAGCTGTGCAAACTCCTTTTTAAGTCCGAATTTGGCGAAAAAATAAACACCAATTACGGTAATTTTACTCCTCTTTGTTTTCTTGTGCTGTTTTGACGTTTACAAAGCAAAATAGCTCAAATTCAGACTGTTAAAATGTTTCGACCACAACAGTAGCGTTTTCAAGGAACTCACTCTACACTTTCTTGTCCAGAAATTCCCCCATGCCTTCGGATTTCCAACCGTAAATACCCCCCATGCCCTCAGAATTCCATAATCGTGAACCCCCCCTCCCCTTCGGAAATCCTAAAAGCCGTCTGTGGTATAGTATGGATATTTTCTGGAATCGCCCATTCCAGTCCAATGAGCATGCAGGATGTTTGCAACATGAACCTTGTTAAATGGTCCAAGCTCTATATCTAGTCTTCTTCTTTATTGGTCTTTAATACTTAGGTCCATAACTACAATCATGGACAAAAGTCTAGGGACACTTTTGCATTTCTGGGGGGTTCTCCAATTCACACAGGTCCAACCCCTCCCCCTCACCCCACAAACAATGTTGGACGCGTGTATCCAGAATTTTTTCCGAGTTTCAACTTTGAAAAGGATGCACTGTTTTAAGAGGGTACATAGAAATGAGAGAAAAATGTGAATAAGCAGTACCGTTCCAAGGACTTTTGTCCAGGATTGTAGTCTTCTGTATGTAGCTCAGATCAGTGGTAGAGGATGTAAAACAGTAGATCATACAGCAGGGTTGTCAAAAGTAGCCGGCTGCTGAAGAAATCGCCGCCTATTTGGTTAGTATTGACCAGCTACTCTGCTTGGCATTTCATTACGGATGGTGTTTTTTAAATAAAATATCCCTGGACTGGACACTTCTTTGACAACTCAGCTATCTAGTTCAAACCTTTCTGACAACCCTGATGCAGGTTAGGTTCAACTCTTGCTGGGAGAGCTCAGATGTTTTTTCTGATTTGCTTGTGTCCCTGACTATAAAAATAATACCCTATAGTAACTAATATGATATTATGCAGCACAGAATATTTGATGGAAAGTTTCTTAATAATTTTTTTGCTTAACCTTCTCGAGACTAATCATTTCCTTGGAAAACCACTGAAAAAGTGAACTGATTCTCTGAATTTAGAATTAAAGCTGTTATCATTTGGTTTGCAGGAGTGATATTTCTCAGGAAGATAAACTGAAGTTTGGAATACTAAATCAGGTTTTTCATTATCATTGAAATTTATGATATTTATTACCTGCAGAGCATACTTTTCGATGTTTTTTTCACGTTTTTCCCCTGTAATACAAATTTACTAATTTCATGTTTTTTGTTCCTTTGTAGCATAGTGCTGGGCGTCTTTCATTTGCTAAGCATGTTGACAACCAAGTAAGTTCTTATGTCTGAAGCCCGTTTTCATACTGATTGTTACTTTGATTGCTTGGGTATTTTAAAACAGTCCAGTGATCTGAAAGGTCACACCAATTGTACATGCTGGTAGTGATCAGGGGGAAGCAAGTGCAACATGTAAGGGACTGGCTCTTGTTGTTCTAAAGTTGGATGGCACTTTTCACTGGATACAAGTATAATAGTGTTATCCAACTTATGAAGAATAGGGTCCTGAAGTGTACCTGTTAACATGTTTAATAGTTAACAAGGATTATCAGTTCGCGAATGGCCTTCCATGTGGGAGGTTATGGAAACGGGCTTCATCCACCGTGGCAGGATTAGCTCAGTTGGTAGAGCGTTTGACTGCAGAGTGGGAGGTCGTGGGTTCGATTCCCGGGGCCGGACCATTACTCAGGGTCTTAAAATGACTGAGAAATGAAGGTACTTCCTTTGCACTGCAAGCGGCTGGACCTTCACGTGGCTTGGATGACCATGTAAAATGGTGGTTCCGTCTCCATTAGGAGACGTAAAAATAGTGTCCCCAATTGGCACTTTCGTGCTAAATACATTGACACTCAAATAAAGTGCTTTTTTTTCCCATGTGTGACTTCGAACTCTTATTTCGGCTTTTCTCATTTTTGTGTAGCTTTAAGTATTTGCCTGTAAAACAGGGCACTGATGGACAGGGAGAAAAGGGGTGGGGTAAGGTTGGAGGAGGGGGGGAGGGGGGGTGAGCACACTGCCAGCCTCAGTTTTGTCAGTCTAATGTGTGCTGTTATGATTTACCGAGTAGACATAAAAAAGGGACCTTTGCCTTTACTTCAGGCTTCATAGAATGATAGCCTTCAGGTCCCCGTTTTTCAAAAGATGGACCATGTTATCTGGACTCAAAAAAGACCCATCCATTTCTCTGGGACAAATGTAGACTTTCTTGCTGGTCAAGTAATAAGTGCCCTTCCAACGGCCGAGGGTCCAAGTCAAGTCATCTCGTAACTAAAATACTTTTCAATAAGACAAGCAAAACATTGTCCTAAATGAAGAGCAAAATAAGAGAGCTGATTTTCCAAAGGACAAGCTGGGATTCAAGTCTTTATTGAGTCCTATTAGAGTGATCTTTAATACAAATATAATCCTGCCATCACCATAATGTACATGTACAATTGTCGCAGCTGTTTCTTTGCAATAGCTACAATCACTGATTTCTTATTTAGCAATTCTAACTTTATTAAACGCCCATGAGGAATCCAATGTTTAACTCCAGCTTAAGAAATGTTACCGAATTTTTTTCACTTTCATTAGTCAATAGCCTGAATTTCATCCGATTACTTCGAGTCGTTATTACTCCCTCAGTGTTGAGAGGAGAAAACGACTCGAAGCAATCGGATGAATTTCAGGCTAATTAGTCAAGAGCTATATTTTCTGGAAGACTGGAGAAAGCTGTCAATAATGGCAAACTCATGTTGTCAAGTTCGATTTTTAGAGGAACTTTGCTTTTGTTTATGACACCGCACCGGTACATTCCTGAGAATTTCGTGTCTGGGTTACTAATATGCAACCAAAATATTATCTTTTCCAAACAGAGAGTATATTTCAAGAGCGTTCCGGAAACCGTTTTCTTCAGGCTTGTGCAGTACTTTGCAATTGTCTTATTTGAGTAAGTATATGACATGGATTGTACTACAACTTTACAACTACAAAATCTTTGATTGTGCCTCCTAAAAGCCTAGCTTGTTGAGGTCATCAAAAGATCCCTCAAAAGTACTTTTTTGTTGATTAAATTTCTACTAAGAGTCTCTAACTAAGTATTTGAGGATTCCAAAATGGGAAACAAAATTGTAATAGTCAAAAATGTTAACCTCCTCCACCCCTTGCGAAATTTGGGATTGGCATTATGAGCGGGACACAGGAATTGGCGATTTATGTTGCGCGAATCGGGAAGTGTCGTTTTCTAGAGCTGCGGTTTCTTTTTTCGACTGAACACAAGCTTTCCGCTATCAACCGCTTTTAGTGTTGTGACTGTGGCTACAGTTTTCGGTATCCGACTAATCTGTTTCTGTGGTTGAGTTAATTAACGGGCCCGGTAAGCTGTCTCCGTTTACATTAAAGATCGAGGTTTCAATAGTTTTGCATCTAACATCATAAAACTGTCAGTTAATTAAACTAAATGGAGCAGTTTGCTAGCCAGGACCCGCGCTCTTATTCTTTATATTTCGATTTGAATTTTTGATTTCGGGCCCGTAAAGTTACCGGGACTTTCGAGAAACGGGCCCCTGGACCCGCTGTAGACTTTGAGCAGTCTCTCTTTTGCCCGAAAGTCTATGAGCGATTGCGATATATATGTGAGTATGCAAGCGGCGAAGCCGCGAGCAGCGAGCTGTGCGGGCGCCAGTACTGAAAGTTTGTTTTTGAACACTGCAGTGTTTGGGATCGGGTTTAGCCGATGAACATCCTCGGACTCACGGGACTGAACGAAAAGTCAGTCTGGATGACCGAATTGAAAAATTCCGTTGGCCCGAAGCCTCTTCTAGTAATAAACGTAGAATACCTTCCCAGAGTATATAATCTCTCTGTGTTCTAAAAAAAAGGGTGGGCAGCAGGCAGGCAGGTTTATAATTACCGTTTATTTGTGTGCTAGGATGAGGAGAAGGGTACGAACTTTAAGGGAAAGTGGAGCCGTTGCGGGGGGGGGGGGGGGGGCAAAAATTCGGGGGTTGGCGCTTTTTCAGTGGCCTGCGAAAACAGCTGACGCCACGTCCTTAGAGGCAAAAAGGGGGGAGAGACGGCTGTTTTCACAGGTTAATTATTCAAAAATTAATATTTACTTTACAGATAAAAAAAATGCTGTACTTATCTAACTTGTAGAAGGAGAAAGGAAATGGGGGGGGGCGGGAGGGGATGTGTGTAAGTTGTGTTGGTTTGTGGGGGAGGGGGGGGAGGGAGAGGGGAAAGAAGAAGGGGGGGGGGGGGGGGGGGGGGGGGGGGGGGGGGGGGGCACAAATTCGAGGGTTGGCGCTTATTCAGTAGCCTGCGAAAACAGCTGACGACACGTCCTTAGAGGCCAAAAGCGGGGAGAGACGGCTGTTTTCACAGGTTAATTATTCAAGAATTTATATTTACTGTACAGATACAATAGATGCTGTACTTTGCGTATAGAAAAAATAGTTGGTCTCACCTTTTTCTTTGCGATACTGTTTGTAGTCGACTTCTTTTCCTGAAAAATTGATTTTTAGGTGAACAAAAGGAAATTAAATTAAGTAGACCGTTAGTTTAGCCTCTCTCTCTTCTGAACGAAAATTGGAGGCAACATAGCAAATATCGAGCGAAGCGAGTAAAACCAGGGCCAGTAGGCTGCATTGGGTTTTTGGAAAAACAGCTCTTAAAATTGAACAACTATCTTGTATTTTGATACCGCCGTTACAAAACGCTTTATGCGCCGATACTTTGTAGCACGTTTTTCGTGTGTATTTTTTTTGTTACTGAGTACCTTCCTGCGAACCTGCTTGCGGATATATCAGGGTTTCTGTTTGAGGCCGAAGGTCGGACGTTTCGTGTGGTTGTTTACCACGTCATGTCCGGTACTTTGATGCCATTGTGCATGTCTTTTTTTGTTTCCGTTTGTTTGTTTGTTTTTACTTAAAATTTTTTCATTTAGCCATGAAGCCTTTGTCTTAGGAATAAAAACGCTAAAACAAAACGTTAACCGCTAAAAGTTTACCCTAACTATTCGAAAATCAAGAAACAAATCTCCTGTCTCTAAAATTCTGGAAACGGCATTTGTGAGAGTTTCAATCCCAAAATTTTTGTGGGGATCACTTATGCCTTCGGCGCTCGTAGTCTGCCTTACAGCGGAAAAGTGGTTATGTCTGGTTTGTGACTGGTACTTTAACGAACAAATTATATAAATTGGTTACGTTTGAAATCTGTCGAAAACCTTTTGATATCCTTTAATTAGCCTGCAGTGCTGGTGTATTTCTTCGGTCAGCGGTATCGTTATTCCGTTATTTCCTGCAATTGCAATTTGTGCCCAGAGTCTTCTGGCATTTTCCTCACCAGACAGAGGAGGACTAGGGAGAGCAGAAGTTGCGATCACCGCGGTCAAACGTCTAGATTTTGGGTTGTTTTTGTTGTTTTGTTTTAATTGCTGGAATTCCCTTAACCATTTAGTGGAAATATAGGCAAAAATGTTCAGAATAATTGCTTGACGTACTCTATTTTCATTTTTCTTAGAATATTGTGTTTCCTTTGCGTTGAAAACGCTTCGAGACCGAGTGAAATTACGCTGGCAATTTACGCCGACAATAACACCATTTTCAGTTTTCAAACAATTGGAACTATTTTATTAAACTTCAAAAAGTTTAGTAAATCAACAACGTATAAGTCATTTTTTCAACAATCAACAGTGAAAATAACCGTAGCTTAAAAAAAATTTCTTTCATTTTGATTTGACCGCTGTTACCATATAATGTAGCTCTTTTTTTGTTATTAAATTTCGTTTTTGTTGAATTATACAAACTGAAAAGTGCCACAATATAAAAGAAAGTAAAGCTCTGTTTTTGCTTGAAAAAAGGCAAGGGAAAAAATATTACAAGGATCAGTTCATTCCTTACTCATAAGATGGGCATTTTTGTATTAAATCTGCTTGTTCTTACTTACCCCGTTGCTGGTACGAACTCCTACTCTTGTAGCGCTGGTTTCCTAAAAATAATACCACAACACTAAGTTAACCTGCGTCGTTTTAGTATGAAAACTAGTCAAGTGTTTGAATAAATGGGATGATGATGTTGTCCAAAAGCCTACCCCTCACTCCCACCTTTTGCGGCAATTTGCCAAACAAAGATAACTTTTTTTGTTCGTCAATGTAGTATGGAATACCCAGTTGGACAAAATCTAGTTTTCATTTATTTGAAAGGTGTTACATCTCTTCCTATTCTTTAATTTGTGCCTACCTTTCAAATACTTTTGTTTTAGAAAAATATTTCTCCCAGATGAAAGCATAAATATCAGATGACGGGATTTTTTTGCATCGGTATAAACATCACGCTGTCTTCCTTTCTAAGCGACAGAAGATTCATAGTCTTACCGCCTCTTTGAGGTCTTTAAGATGTCCCAAAGGACTTATTTTATACTTTCCAAGCCCATCGTCTTTTAGATGTATCTTGTAATCGTGAATTAAGTCCGTGGATGAATGAGCCTGTTCCATGTCACTATTATCGTCCTCGGAAATTCTTTGGTTTAACCGATCGTAAATATACAAATACGACGGCTTTATCTTCCCCAAGTGGCTCATTTTAGACAATGCTTTTGACACACGAAGAAGATTTATTCCCGGCTATATTATGTTTTGTACAAAGTATCAACTGCAGAAAAATACCCATACAGTTGGTCGTTTAATTATTAATCAGGTTATCTCTAAATGGGGACTATTTCCGATAACAGTCCTTTGTGGTTTGAGTCTAAAATCCTTCGAGGAGATAATTAGCTTTTCTTTCACTGGTCCTAATTAGCGAATAAATGTAAACTAAATTCATTATTAATCACAAAAATATACTCACGGTCTTTTGATAATTACACAGTCAAGGTATTTGACACAGTTTATGTAGAAGTTGAGGTAAATATACGTCTTTTTAAGATTTATAGCAAAACAACACAACGAAAAAGCAAAAAAGAAGGAAAAAACAAAAATTATAATGCTATTAGAAATTCTCTAAAAGGTTTCACTTACCAGGTTCATGTCCTTTGGTGGATTTTCCTCGATTGTTATCTTAAAAAGAGAAGTAATGTGTTGTTTGTGTTTTTTTTTTATTATCAATGATCTTAACAGGCTCTGATTGTCTTGGAATGCAAGGCGTACAGTAATAATTCCAAGTCTCATTTCATTTTTCGAAATCATATTGCTTTACTGTAAAAAAGAGTGAAGCAAGTGAAGTATTTTATTTTGCAATTTCATGTTTTTGCAAGAATCTTAACTCTAGTTCTGAAAGTTGTCGTTATCTTCGATCGAGGTTTGCAGTGAAAAACGTAGAAAATGTCCTAGCGCGTAGCAAAACAATTTGAGTAGCCCTGAAAGTTTTAAAATATTTATCGAACACGAAAAGTAGTGAATACTCACCTTGAGGCCAAAATAGTCTGCTAAAAATCTGTAACAAGAGTGATGAATATCTTGAGCGGGATCGTTTTAATTTTTTAAGTGTGTTCGGCACCTGGTGTAATTACACACTGAAAACAATTTTTACCTTCGCAAAACTATAAATCGTTGGCAAGTACCATTAATAAGTAATGCCGAAAACTTGTCCATTGTTTGTCAAAGTGATTTGCAACAAGTATTTATAAAACACCATATATTTATTCACGTCGATTGGGACTTTTTTTACTTTTGCTAATTACTAGAAGTACTTGCTTATCATGTGCTTACACAAGAAATGAAACGACACTTAGCTCTTTAAAACTTCAATTATATTTGCTCGTTTTTTTGTTTTGTTTGTTTGTTTGTTTTGAAAACCTCTTGAATAAATTTGGAATAAGAAGGGATTTGCGTTTTACTCTTCTTCTTCTTCCAAAATTTCCTTTAGTTATGTAACATAATTCCTCTGTTACAGAGGGGGCAGGAGATGGGATTGGGGTTGTACTTCCCCACGGATTAAGAAACGATCTCTCTCTGATCACTCGCTGGATTTGTCTCTCGTTGGTCCCGAGTTCAAATCCGCAGTCATGATTGTAAATGGTCATCTGGTCGCTTCCTGGGGTGTTTAAATCCTGTTATGTTATATCTGTGTTGTTTTTTTGTGCGACTTTTTGAGTGGAATGGTTTTACAAACTAGCCACAGCAGCTAAGTGCACTTCCACTATAAACAGTTTTTTTTTAATTAAATGCAATTTAAGGAATAAAATGGACGAGACAAAACTTCGATCGGGCGCCTTGAATCTCTGCATGACCTTTAGATAATTTGAAATTTGGAAGTCCTCCGAGGCCCAGGGGCAGCTAATCGTTAAAGAATATTCACGATCGTTACAGTCAAAGTTTACTACTTGAACGGGAGCGGCCTGGGGCAGTTACTTTTTCCAGACCAGTTACTAGTTCCTACCAGAAGTATTTTAAGTCCTTGATTCTAATTGTTGTTCTCATGATTTTCGTCGTTTTATTTTTAACGATATTGTTTTTATCTAAGGTGTAATCAAGCTGATGACTTTGAACCTGCTAAGATTTTGATGAACATGTGTTTTACGTTCTTTCTTGAAGTTAACAAAGGTTTGTGTATATCTTTTTACCTCTGTATGTATGTATAAACGGCATGCGTTTTGATCAAGAGACTATAAAGTGGACAGAGAGGGCATCCCCCACATACACCCTATTCCATAGGTAATTCGTCTCGAGTTATTTTTAACACCACAGATCTCAAGGGGGATTAGACAACAGCCAATCACATAGCGCGAATGTGTTCCGCGTGGATGACCCACGCTGAGAGCCGCGCGTCCTTCACGAATTGACGCAGAACAAAATGGGGGAAGACGCGGAGAGCGATTTTTGCTATTCCTTTTGTCGACGAAAACGACTACAGCGAGATTTCTGCGAAAGCTGTGTCAGCGAAACCGAAATTTAAAAAGAATCGCCCTTCCTCTCTTGTATAGAGCTAACAGTAGAGCAGCGAAATCCTTAACACACTGAATATTCTCTCAGGATCATTTATAATTTACAGTTTGAAGAGAGTAATTTCTGGTTTGATGTTTATTGTTTTCAGTCTTTATAGCGATTATTCCTACCCACTTACTTTGTCAATTGTAGGCGAACCCTCCTAAAGCTGAATTTCAAGGGACCATATTCAAGCTCAGCAAGAGAAATAAAATTTCGTCGTTGCTTATTTACGTCCTCCATAAAACAGAAAATTAGGCATTTTCACGTCGTAGTCGCACAAAAACGGGAAAGAAATGAACAAAAAAGTGTGTTGCACGTGCGAAGTTGTTGTTTTGCTAATTAAACCTATTGTTTTTTCGACGTTCTAGTTGTCGTCCGCCTCGTTGGATCTTAAACTCCCTAAATTGTACAAACGACCGGTTTCAATAGACCGGCGAAATTTCTCATTTTATTAAAGCACTGAGGTTACGACAACTTTGAGTTAAACTGATTTCACGGGTTGTCAAAAAGTCCAGCGATTCCTTTTTCCCAGGTGAGCGCCGACTCATTTCGCTTCAATATTCAGGAATGCTCTCGATCTTTTTACGCTTTCATTGCATCTCGCCCGACATGTTTTGCACGGCGTTTGGTCATGCGAAACCTCCACGAAACATCCACGCCTCGCGCGAGGTAACTCTATCCCGATTCTAAAAATAATTCGAGACGAATTACCTATGAAATAGGGTGTATATGGGGGATGCCCTCTCTGTCCCCTTTATAGTCTCTCGGTTTTGATCGATTGACGATCCCATACGACGTTTACAAGTAAGCTCCACTTAGAGAATCAATATTCGCAACAGGACATCCACAACATTGGACCAACTTGTTGGCTAACTGTCAATCGCTGTGGTTCCTGTTTTTCCATTTTCCCTGTATTTTTTTGTCTGTTTAATTTACGTGGCCAGCGGTATATTTTCCTAGACCAAGGACCGCGCGGTCGTTAGCATGTGTGACATGTGTTTCCAATTTTAGGTTGCATTTGTTTTCTTTACTTATCGGTTTTCATTGTACTCACCGGACGTCGCAAAACGTGTTTGTAAGTTTCTTTTGTTAGCGTTTTCTGGATTTGGCATTTCCAAGTGTTATTTTAAGTTTTCCATTTTACTTTTGTAATTTTTGTATCTTCGTCTAGAAACCACGTTTATCGTGCAGTTGATACATGAATTTGACACGTAACATCTTCATGTAGTTCCGAATTAAAGGTTATATTTTTTTGGCGGCTACAATCGCTGTGTGGCATGAGTGTGCCTAACTATCCTCCATAATGTCATGAGAAACTGAGGCATTGGGTGACCTGACCTGGGTTACGCCCCTCCCCCCCTCCGGTGGAGGGGGGGGGTACTCCCTTATATAAGACTTATAGGTATGTGTTGCTCTAAAGGGTATGGATTTTGAGCCGTATTGGTCTGAAAATGGGTATAGACTTTGCCCATTTTGGTTTGGAATCAGGTATGGTTTTCGAGGGAACTACGGGAGTGTATGAACGTATTTATCGTTTCAAATCCAAATGAGTAAGAAAGAAAGAGAGACCGACAAATACGAAATGGATTTTGATAAATCTTTATTGTTGCTGTTCTAGTCTTAGTAATGATGACCTTATTTCTTAGAGGCCTGGTCTGAAAACGGGTGAGAAAAATGTCCTTTTTTGGTCTGAAATAGGGTCAGGATTTGGACAACCAAATCAATGGACAATCAAAAAAATGTGCCTGCTATTTTCTGCTATCTGTGGTTCCTTTACAGTATAAGGGAAAGCTGTATCCTTTTTAAAGTAGATTTAGGGGCAATGAATCACTGTTGAAATTTGCTTTGTAAATGATATACAAAATTTTTCTCAGGTAGTGAAGAGTCGAGCAAACAGTTCATTGTACCGTATTTGAGAGATCAGCCTATTTGGTGAGAATATATTTTTTGTATTTTTCTGTTGTTTTTTTTGGTTCCCCTCTTGAAATACAATACCATACTATCATGTTGGACCATTTATTCAAACAGACCAACTCTTTTAGAAACGCCAGTTTTTTAAACAGTTGCTTAATTGTATTCTTGTTAGTCCGTTGCCTGTTTATCATAGTTGTTTTTAATTACCTGGGACGGGTAAAGGTACCTTGTGCAAACATTGACCTCAACCAGTTAGGCGTCCAGCGGTTTTAGTGAAAACAAGGGTTTGGGTGGGGTGCTCAGTCTCGCGGGCTCATAAAACCTGGTCTCGGTCATCAAGGATTTTCTATGCAAAACCCTCGGGCACTCCCTTATTTAGCCTAGACGGGTATGTGCCGCTCAACAGGGTCTTATTTTCAGGGTCTTGAGTTCATCGCTAATATGAGTTTTAAATATAGGAAATCCCTGCGGTTTTGGAACGCAGCATTTTTCGATGCAGTCCACGGCGAAAAAGAACTTCCAGCCATTCCGAGGTTTGTAGATTCAGCTAGGTGCTAGCTGCTATTTGTATTTGCTTACTTTTGAGGGACGCTATCGTTTTGAAAAAGTTTTTGCAACAACAGAATCATACGAAAAATGCCTCAGTTAGTTAAGGAATACGGTTTGGCCACCGATAGTGAGGATCACATAGATTGTAACTTACACTTGTGTGGCCTCGAGTAAGAAAATCCAAGTCAGACTTGGATACTGGATCCCACGCCGTGGATTTCGGATTCCAGCTATTGGATCCGGGATCTTCGTCATTGGAGCCTGGATTCCGGATTCCAATCATAAGTGGGATTCCTGATTGCTGGAGCTGTGTTCCGGATTCTAAAGCCCGGGATTCCGGATTCGACAAGCAAAACTTTCTGGTATTCCCTTAAGCTACCGACAAACGGACGCAACAGCCCCCAACACTGTTGGCCAACAATGTTGGGTGTTGTTGCGTTCATGTTGGCAGCGGTGTGCAAACGGATGCAACAACTCCCAACAACATGTAACAACATGCAACAGGATGTTCAAACGGACGCAACATGTAACATCCAACAAGGTTGCGTCCGTTTGCACGGAGCTTTACATGAGGGGGGGGACCTGTATAACGAACTTTAGCCACTTGCGAAGTAACTGGATAATAATTTTTAAAAAGCCGCCAGCTACGCAGACTACTAAATTGATTGAAAGACAAAAATAACCGCTTAATACAGTAAGGGAACGTTACATAACACAGCAAGTAAGCAAATACAAAGCGGGCACGGATGGACAAAGCTGAAAAAGACTGCATATGAGGCTTTGGACATCTGTTCAGCCTGTCAATTTTTTTTCTTTGTTATTTGAAACTTTCAAATCGTTTACCAGGACTTATTCGGTTAAAAATACACAACAGCAAATATGACAATTATTTGCTTAACTTTCATTTCAAAAATTCCTGATATCATCGTTAGCTACCGCCGGTTGGCATTTTTATTTTTATATTTACATTTACTTCTTATTTGCAGTGACTTGTGGCACAGCTGGTCTCCAGAAGAACAAATGGAGTATGAGGAATGTGACAAGAACAGCATGTTTGGCAAACTAGGGTGCGTAGCAGAGCCCCTCTCTTAGCTTTGCCTACCGCGATACTTTTCAGTGTTATATTTCTCACCCAGTTCCTGTTGCGCCTTGGTTGGTCAATGCTACTATAAGGCCCACTTGCAACTTTCGATACGGACCGAGAAAATGAGGTTAGTAAGATACATATTTATATCTTCAAGGTTAATTGGGCGCGCAACCTGATTTTCAGACGTCCGTCCGAGGTTCGCTCGCGGCCTCTTTTGGAGAGAAGGGAAGGGGCCACGATCGAACCTCAGACGTCTGAGAATCAGGCTACTACGCGCCCAATTAACCTCGGAGATATGTGTATCTTACTAATCTCGTTTTCTTCGTCCGTACTGCAAGTTGCAAGTTACAGATCATAGAAATAAGAATTTGGTCGTTGGAAGTTCTCTTCACTACGTGTAGTGTAATAGTAGGGATGAAATTAACTTTTTGTACGCGGGAGAATCTCATTAACGTTCGGGGAAATACATCAATGCCGAGGATGGATAGCCCTTTGTCTTTAGCGCATAAGATATTGGCGAAGTCTATGACGTCATCGGCTTTAATGTATTCCCCTCACGTTAATGAGATTCTCCCCCCCTGAAAAACGGTTCATTTCATCCTTACTATACTACTTCTGCCGTTCAGCGTAATGCTAAAACTACCTCCAGTAGGGTTCTAGATTGCGATCCTTTTGAAGCCTAAGGATCTCGTTACTATAAGTTTTGCACTGACAGTAAAAGTCGGAAAACCGTGAACACCTGAAACGTTGTAGGAATGTTGATTGCCTAGTGCCAATCAGAACAAAGACCAGGACAGACAAGTAGATCACAAAGCCACTTACGCTTTAGTTTCTCACGCCTAATTTACTTTTTCCTGACAATACGTTTGCATTCCGGTACTATTCTGGTTTTCACGGTTTTTTGTTTCACAGTAACACATATCATTCCAGGAGTCCGTGAATTTATGCTTATGCCACAACTGTCGTAGGTTTTTATTTGTTTTTTATTTCCCACTATCAGCACTTTTCTGAGTAATATGAAAGCTTTTGGATTGAGCAAGGACATCTGCAAAGAATTTCTTCTGAAAATGAGCACCATTGGGGAACTTAATCAAGGTAGGTTGCCATAGCAACACATGTAATGAAGCGGACCTATAAAAGGGGTTGTGTCGCGGCAGTCTAGTTACAAAGATACACTTTCTTATTTTTTTATGTAACTTAACGTTAGCAAAGAAATTACTAGCAAATGAAAAAAGTCACAGCTTCTTGTAAAGAAAAAATGGATCAATTTCGTTGTCTGGGAAACTGCCCACCTACCCCTCCCTTAAGCCAACATTAACACTTAATGCTCACTTAGGGCAAAATGTTGGCCTAGGGGAGGGGTAGGCGGGCAGTTTCCCAGAAACCTAATTGATCCGGAAAAATATATTCCATGCATTATATCAGACGCTGAACACAGCGAAAAGACGTTTTCAAAAACCACAATTGTAATCCGTTTTTGTCTTCTTCAGATTTGTCAATCTGTGCTTTTTTGGATGTTTATACTTTCTATTACTGTTTTAAGCAGTTATTTTTGTATTTCACTCAATTTAGTGGCAGTTCTCACTGTTTGAGGTTCGATAAATTTTCTTGTCACAGCTCCTTTTAAGGATGGGTACTTTCTACCTCAGTCAACAGTTTCCAGTCTTTCCTAGGTTCGCTCGAGTTTTCTGGAGTTTGGTCTTTGGTTGAGTTTAAGGGTGGAGCGTGGGGCTGATAATCTAACCTAAAGTAATGTTGTTTCGTTTTACAGAACAAATTTTACTTTTGGAGAAAAGCTTAGATCAAGCAACTGAAGACGAACGGAGGCGGTGACACAACACCCACCGACAGTATTTTCAATTTCTGTTAACTATGTTAATTTACACTAGAAGGAATGTTTTCGGTGGCTAAAGCAGTCAAAAGTAATCGCAAACTGAGTGTTTGCACCCGAACTACTGCACCGATGAATATTACGCTGGAACATCATAAGAAAGGCCAATTTATACTTCAAAGTTTCTGGATCGCTTTCTACAATCCTAAAGTCCTTGGGACAGTGATGCAATATTCGGTAATTGTCTGTAATTTCTGGGTGCCCTCATAAAACGGTGCTACCTTTTAGAAAATATCTTGCAGTTCTCCCTCCCCTTTCCACCTTATACAATGTTGAAACTCGGGACAAATTTTGGATAGAGGCGACCGACGTTGTTTGTGGGTGGGGAAAGGGGGCGGTTTAAAAAGCCCCAGGACTTTAGTCTGTGATTGTAGTTGAGATTGATAGCACCAAATCAAGCACTCGATCCTGGGCCTGACATCGTGCTTTAAATGTAGAACGTAGCGTAGTGGTCCGGGCTTCCTTCCAGTTTAAACGTAAACAGATTTCTTTGATGGCCTTTAATCCTCAATAGTTTTAAAATTTTATATATAAAAAAACCTCAATTGACGAAGTTTGAACTAAATTAATGTATTTGAGAGTTGTACCAACTATTTTTAAATAATTTTATTCCATTTATTTCACTCTTAAAGCATTTGTAACACAGCTATGAACGAAACAAATGTAAATTATTTATTGGTAACAAGCAACTTGCGTAAGTTATTTAGTTTTGCAGTTGCGACTCAGCTTCACCGCAAAAATTATTAAAAAGACACCACGCCGTTTATGTAGATGGCAATAAAGTTAAATGCAACTAATACTTTAAATGACTTTTTTTTGTCGGTGCCACTGACCACTTCAAAGCCTTCGTAACATTTCCACTAACCCAAAAGAACAAAACTAGACTGTAAAACAGTCGTTGTTTTTTCTCCTCAAATCGGTTTTACAAGGCGCGAAGTTTTTGCGCAACGCCCGTAGAGCGTGTGTAGCCAAACAGTCCTTAGTTTCACCTCACTCCAGACCTTTTCTTTGACCGCTCGTGCGCGCGAGTTCTTAGCCTAGGCAAAAATACGGACTGTTTTCCAGTCTAGAAAAAAAAAATACTCAAATGGTAAAAATGCAACTTCATCGTCATAATCATATAATGTGATGGCAGTAATTTGCAAAACAAATGCCCTGATCGTGACCGAGGCACCAAAGTCAAGCAAGTGCTTTGATGTGCGTTGATTCCTTTTTAATTCCTGTTTCTGTCACACAACGCTGCCTTCTCCCAGAGGAAGGCGAGGTACTATACTCTTCTACGTAGAGCAAAGTAAATCACAGTTGATGGCCTTTCCAAAACTGGCGCAAAGCTGATAGAGATGTGATGAAATTAATGTGTAATAAATTTAGGGAATTTTTTCGCTGTTTGTCACTATCAGAAGCGCTCAACACTTGTGAAACATTAACCGCTTCTAAACGCGTCAGTACAAAGATAACTGCGCAATAATGATTGCCTAGAAAAGAAGCTAGAGAGATGGCCAAAACTGGACTACATCCCTTCAACGAAAGGCAAAAGCCTCTTCTAGCATGTTGCTTACGTTATTTGCAACATGCCGGTTGCTGAAAGTCATCGATGACGATCGAACGAACACAAAAACTGAGTTTCAAAAGCTGCTGAAGTGGTCTGTTAGGGGCCAGCCATTTGACTTTTGAAGGGAGGGGGTATAGGTGTTTCAGAAAACAATATTCTGCAGACTGATTTCGAGCAAAAAAAAAACTCTTGCAAAGAAATACCAGCCACACAGTGGCTTTGTATGTCCGCGAAAAACATTCTGTCACCAGAGGTTTCGGGCAAAAAAAATTCCCCCCCCCCCCCCCAACAGTCAAATGGGCCGCTGCCCCTTTTTTCGCTGGCTAGAAAAAAAAGGGGGAAAAGGTCCATGTCTGTAAAAGTTGCGATTTTTAAAAAGATTACATTGTACGTGTACAACCAGGACCCTTCGCCTTATTAGAATGGAGGGGATAAGTCATACTAAAAAAACTTACTCCTCATATGCATTGAAGACAAAAAAAAAAACTATCTAAAAAAAATCCACCCCCCCGTGAGGTTTGTTATCCGCCAAAAAACTTTTTTTCCCAAACGGGTTTGGGCAAAAAAAATTCCCCCCCCCCCCCTCAAAAGTCAAATGGTCCGCTGCCCCTTATTTCGCTGGCTAGAATAAATAGGAGATAAATGTCCATGTCTGAAAACGTTGCGATTTTATAAAATGTACCGTTGTACTCGTGACACAGAGGCTCTACGCATTATTAGAAACGTCAGCGACAGTTTCATTTTCTGAGCTAGTTTTGGGAGAAGTCTCATTCGCCTTCTCTACGTCGTTTACACGGTTGTCCCTGGAATGCTCCCCTAAAACGTACATTTCCTTTTTGGGTGCGTCGGCATCTTTAAAGCTATTAATAGAAAGCAGACGCATGTTTAGTTGAACTGTCAAAATGAACGAAATCCCATCCTAAAGCTATTAATTCAAGTACTTCAAAAGCTACAGGCCCAGAACAAATGATTCAACATGGGTAAGGGCGCTTTCCATTTGTTAGAACTGGCCGGCCAGACCAGTCATTTTGAAAATGAAATGGGCTTTTACCGAGAAAGTTGGCTGAAAAATCATCCCCCTCGTGCATACTATTTAGAATTTGACTGATCTCACGCTAAACAGTTTTGATTAAGAGTGAAATGCTCTCATTACAATGGGAATGGTCTAAGCGAGTCATGATCAGTTCTAACATATGGAAAGGGCCCTAAGACTTGTCATTTGGTCTTCCTTGATATGAAGCTAACTCTTTCTGTGACTGAGACTAACTTTTGTCCGTAGATAACTTTGGGGTGATGATAATACTTCTGATATTTGTTGCAATTGTTTCGGGAGTGGTATTTTAAAACTTGCAACTGAGGGAAGGAAAAAGGACTGCTCTACGACGATAATATAATTGCGTCGGAAAAGCGAAATCCTCATGGCGAATATCTATTTTTTTTCTCCGGGGGCTTTATTTCGGACGAAAGCAGATATTTGTTTTGTTTTGTTTCTAGCTAAATCACCGGAATTGTAATTTGAAGGTTGTAATGTGTTTACCCACAGAGTACTTAGGAGTTCTTAAGAACTCGTTTGAACGTGTCCGTGCGTTCCAAATCGAATAAGAGTCTGTCATTGTTGGTTTTTGAGGAGAGTAGAAAACCGAAGTACCCGGAGAAAAATCTTCTCGGAGCAAGGGAGAGAAGTAACAACAAACTCAAATAATATATGGCGTCGACGTTGGAATCTGAACCCGGGCCACATTGCCCCCCGCCCTGATCTGATTATGCAGATAGCCCCTCACCACCCCCCCCCCCCCCTCCCCCGCCCCCCTTTCCCCCTAGATTGCTCCCTTTCTTGGGGGTAAAGTGTTTCCCCCCCTCCACCCACCTTCCCCCCCCGCCTCCGTTTAACCCATATCCCCCCCACCCCTCCCCCCCCTCCCCCTTCCTCCCGTTGGCCTCATTGCTTGTAGGCCGGGTGCCTCCCCAACCCTCCCACTGCAAAAAAATCTTCCCGGGGAAAGGGAGAGAAGTAACAACAAACCCAAATAATATATGGCGTCGACGTTGGAATCTCACCCCGGGCCACATTGCCCCCCCCCCTGATCTGATTATGCAGATAGCCCCCCCCCCCCCCCCCCCCCTCCTTCCCTGGCTGCTCTTTCCAGTAGGATGGCTACATTGATGGGAGCTAAGTGCTTGCACCACTGCACCACTCTTGCTCCCCCTGATCTGATTAAGCAGATAGCCTCTCACCACTATCCCCACTGCTCTCTTCAGTCGGATGGCTACATTGATGGTAGGCGAGTTCTCTCACCAGTCTGCGCCACTCTTGCTGTTCCCGATCAGATTATGCAGATGACTCCCCACACCCTTCCCCACTGCTGTTCGCAGTAGGATGGCTACATTGATGGGAGGCGAGTGGTCTCACCACTCCGCCACTCTTTCTACCCCTGATCAGATTATGCAGATCACTCCCCACACCCTTCCCCACTGCTCTTTCCAGTAGGATGGCTACATTGATAGGAGGCGAGTGGTCTCACTAGTCTGCGCCACTCTTGCTACCCCCGACCAGATTATGCAGATCACCCCCCACACCCTCCTCCACTGCTCTTTCTAGTAGGATGGACTTCTAGTTTCTCATTACCACTAGGTTCAAGACTATTATTGAGGAAACGTTCTCACCCGCAGAACGGCAGGTGTAATGGACATGGTTGTGGCTTCCCCATCCAAATGATGCCATAATTTTCTGTGGACGTCTCAACGTCTTCTACAGTCTCATACATGTTTGAGAAAAGGGTCTCGGGTAACCACAGGGACATAATACCAGCAATGAGTGTCATGATACCAATGATTATCAGAGGCAGGGTGATAGGCACGCTAGGAGATTGACCCTATAGACGACAGACGAACAAAATTCACAATTACAACAACTCAATAGATTGGCTTTCCAATCTTCCTCGTATTTCAAAATAGGTATAAACTGACTTATATATGAAATGAATAGTACTTTGAACTGCGAATAAAGATATGACAGTGAAAATGATCTTGTCTATCCATTTAGCTAATCAAGCCAACTATAACTCAGAATGGCCTGCTTTCCAGTTGGGTTGATTAGCTCAATGCAGTGGCGGATTCAGACCTTCCGATAAAAAAGGGGAGGGCCCGGTCATCCAAACCCTGAGATAAGGGGGGACGGGCCCCCCGGGCTCCTCCCGTGGATCCGCCACTGCAATGGATAAAGGGTTGCGTCCGATCAATTGCAAAGATCAGGGTTTTTTCGGAATCTTTTTCAACCACTTAGGTTGTTCATTCTACTGCGAAGATCGTGTTCACTTTCATAGCAAAATAGGTATGTTAAATGGTAGATATGTGGTTGGTGCGAATTAATATTTAGGACTGACCTATAGAATATAAAGCAACTTACCAATGCAATAAGAAACGGAACCACCATTCCTCCTATACGGGAAAATGTGGAACATGCACCAAGTGCCATATTCCTAAAAGTAAAATCAAACCTTAAACAAGTCGCAACATCTTGACACAATGAATGGTTCTAGTTCGAATTCACATCCTAGTGTTCTTTAGAGTGAGACGGAAGATTACTAAAGAAAATATAGATGTAAGTTTTTAATAATCGGACGATCATCGCCTACCATTCAATGCCATAGGTTTACCAGAATTTCATCCATGTTGTAGTTGTAGGTGTTGAAATCATTGCCAGAGAAAATGTCACCTCCACATGGCTTCCTCCAAATTCCGGCCGTAGTACTGCAAAGAATTTCTCATCTGTCTGATAGGGCTCTTTGAATTTTTCTCACTCCGATCATTTCATTTACGAAGCACTTTCGAAGGTTTGACTGCACCGACCACCTAATTGGCCCTGATGCAGTTTTCACCTCTCGTAGCAAAATCTTCCACGGGAAACTTCTAATTCCTACTTTCCACAGTATGGCTACTTCCTCAGACACCGTGTGTTTGCGACCCATATCCACACTACCAAGTATGGTTAACTACCTCACCTGGTCTCATACAAGCAAACGTCACACTAGTCTGCGCAGCTGGCGGGATTAGCAGGCGGATTGTTGTAATCTTTTGACAAAAAGTCCCTTGCGGATCCGCCCCAAAGAAAGTATCCCGTGCAGAGCAATCCCACCAGCTACGCAGTTAAACGCCACGCGTAAGATATAATCCCTTGCGCAGTGGGTCTGCATATTCAGATTTCTGACCTTTCAATGCTCACATTTTCTTGGTTTCAAAATGGACGATTTTATTCACTCTGCCACTTTACGAATTATGTCCAACTTCCTGTTGTGCTACCGCGTGTGAGGCAGCCAGAGTGTTTGACATGTAACGTCTACAGACAATGGCTGCACTCTCTTATGTGATGGAATGTGATAGTTATTGTTGCTAAGACGTAGAGCGTGTCTTACCTTACAGTGGTCGGATACAGTTCAGTGCTGTAAAGGTAGATGTTGGAGAAGGAAGCTGATCCAAAGAACCTTCCAATCATCGCTAAAGCAGTTATGAGTCCTTTCATACCTGTATAAAAGATTAAAAGCAAGTAATGTTAGATCACATAACGGGTGCTTTACGTTGTGCCAAAAAGTCTCGGAAATTTCGGGCAAAACATGAACGGAACGCTTCATTCCAAGTGGAAATTCATCGAAAAAAGTGGCTCACCCCCAGAGGTGTTTCATTTTGATTGGACGGTCTCGAAAAATCCCGTTTCCAGTTACATTTTGCTGAGAAATAATACTGAAAAATTTCGATTGAAACGTAGCTAAAACGCGTGGACCCGGTTGGAAACTTTTGTTTCAAACGAGCAATGTCGTTTCATTATCTATTGGTTGTGTAGTTCGTCTGATTTATGACCGGTCGGTTTGGCAAAATGGAAAGCATCCTACATTTGCTGTATTGCTATGCTGGGTGTAAGATTAAGTACTACGCTACATGCCCTAACCTTCTGGGACAGCAAGCACAAGCAAAAAAGAGAGGCCACTGGCTACCATGAACAAGCAGTATGGGACACGGCGGCCGAAACTGAAAAAGGTGAAAGATTATTAATCAACACAAAATAATCAGTTATGTCAAGAATTCTGCTCTTATGTCAGGCCGACCGTTTCAAAACCTCAAGTGTAGTCAGACAAGTTACGGGTAGATAGTTAAGGAGCAAAGTTGTTGAGTTTGTTAATAAATTGTAAAATCTGCGATCTAATCTGCATAGCTCTTACTTGACTGGTATTTTTAAGAGTCGTGGGATGTTTGAGTTTTGACGGACGCATCTCGTTGATCAATCTCAACACTTCGACTATGTACAACGCTGCAGCAGCAACAAGTACTTCAAAGCTTTGCTATACGAAAACAACATGACAGACAAAGTCTTGCGCATGGTTGCGCATGCATTAAGAAAAGCTGTCTCTATGGAGTGACAAGGTTGTTGTAACAGGAAAATTGACCGCGTCAAGAACCTTTTAAATAGGCATCTTATTTAGGAACAGCAAATGGTCAGAGTGTGGCCCAAGCCTATAAAATAGTTTCTATCTCCTGCTTAATGATTAAGTGGCAACCGGAATTCACCTAACGACTTCATGTCTACCGTATTGTTGCCTGTCAGTACCGCCGCCTCTCCACTCACCTCGCTGCTAGAGACATGTTGAGATACCCTCTCGTTGAATATCTCTGGTGGCAGGTAGCGATGAAAGGCGGCTATATTTACAGGCTAAAACTATCCCTCATCAAACGAGAACTTAACATGGCCTCGCCTTCACTTCAGGATATGACCATGGGCCACCTTAGTGGGAGGCAAGTGCTCTCATGGGCTCGGTTTGCAGCCGTCGGTGTCTTGATGCCGGCCCATTGGGCCTGTGAGACATCCACGGATGGAGACCGAGCCTAGTGCTCTCTCCGCTGTGCCGCCGATGCCCTCCCAGACTTACTATCTGAAGACAATCCATGCCATTGGAGTGTGAGGCAAGTCAGTCAGGAACATCAAAAACAGGTTCAGGTAAAGGTTGCCAGCCAGACCAGGAACATACAACATGATTCCGTAGAAAATCATACTCAGCACAAGCCTGAGGAGACAAGGGTGAAGGACGCAGATGATATAGGAATGAGATTGGGTAAGGCCGCAAGCATAGCTTAGGACAAATTACAGAAAATTCAAATCACAGAGTCAGTTCACAGCATACAGACGTTCCAGATTCGCAATGCTAAGCAACCCAATTTTCCCTTCTGTTCTTGGAGAAATCATTGCTGACCGTCCTGCAGGGAGTTAAATTTTGTGATCAAACAGATTTGTGTCTCCACGTCACAACCTCGTCACGTTTTGGGATGTTAATGGTTTTTGCACCGGCTTTTGCGATTTCTTCCTGCCCGAGCGAGGAATGATTAGCATAAACAATACAATTCCAACACAGGCTTACCAGTTATAGCACAGAATCACCGTTCTTTTTCTCATTCTCGACGTTCGCACGAGATCGAGCGGGGATCTCTTGATCCCAGTCTTTAGTTCGCTTTCCGCTGCTCTGCATCTATCCAGCATGGAGCTGAGGGCATCTGAGTCCACGTTCACAGAGCTCTTTTCAGCGTATGTCTTAAGAAGGGCATGTGCATCCTTTAAACGGCCTTGAGCCACCAGCCACCGCAAAGACTCTGGAAACACTCTAATTAAAATTTATATGAAATGTGTTAGCATGGTAAAAGAAAACAATTATTGGAGAAATGATTATTCTTGTTTGAGACTTGATATGAAGTCAAAACTCACCTACGCGGTCTTCCTTGAGATAAAGAAATGATAGTAAATAAATCAGTTTATATATAGTTTGTCGCTTCTGGATGGCTGTCGTGGATAGGTGATTATTCTGGCAGCTAGGGCGCAATTAAGTGGCCGTTACCAGGAGAGCAGGCTGGCGCCCGTTTTTCTACAACGTAGGTCAAAAGAACGTGGGGCATCTGGAAAGACCTTCCACCCATCTTGCTCGAATGTCAACAGGTTGTCAGTTTAACTAATATCTGGGGAAGGCCTCAATTCTTTTAACAACATTTGCCCTTAAAAAGGAATTGTTGTGCATGTTTTCCGTATGGCTCCTGGTGTGATATGTGCTCCTGGCTTGAAAATAATTGTTCGGAGAAAAGCTAGATTTTATGGCTTTTATCAGCCAATCTTGTGGAATCCAGTCAGACAAACAATACTGGCATCTCACGAAATTATGAAACATTTTACAGGTGGCCACGTGTCAACTAGTGCTAATTTGTTCAATCAGGAAGAGACGACTTTCAAGTTACTAAGGGCTTGCCAAATGTCGGAACTGACCTGCCTGACCGGTCATCTTGAAACTTTCGGGCTCAGCTATTTAGGAATCGACTGATCTGGCTGGAGAGCCCTAACTAATAGGCGATTGATTCACCATACCTGGCCCAAGGGCTAATATCCTTCTAAGCCGCAAAAGGTGAAACGTTAGGTGTAAGACACCACCCTATTGAAACCCTCATAAGTTATATACATGCTTACCTCCACAAAAGATAGAAGAGTCCAGGTGGAAAACTGGCGATAAGAAGTACATGTCTCCAATCCCTTACGAGGTACGCAATCATGATCGTGATACAAGCGCCTAACACCCAAAAGATATCCTGCACTTTGCCTGCCAGGGTTCGGTATGAAGCTCCAACTAGTTCCAGAATATATACATAATGACCAACAAACAGGCCTGTGATTGCCGCAGCCGAGCAAAACCGCAGGAATGTAAAGAACGACAGGCAGTCCACAAAACTGGATGCTAAACTAAAGCAAAACTAGGAAATAAAAGCGTATGTTACATATAATAGCACAGTCTTTCGATCTGACCCCGGTTGTTCAAACGTTGGATAGCGCTATTGGGGGAAACTAATTGCACTATCCACAGGAAAGTGATTTATCGAGCCTTTGAACAACCAAGGCCTGACGTAGAGATTCTGAGTTGAAATATGGGGCGCTTTCCATTAAGCCTAAAATGCCGGAAGGTTCGGTTAGAGATCAAATGGAACGGACCATTTCTGTTTGGTCCGAGCAGAAGTTTTGGGTGCACTTTGACCGGTCCTACCAGTCGGACCGAAATGTTCCTGACAAAATTGTTCTCCCCAGTACTGCTCCTCTATATCCTGCATACAAAAACAATATGGCGGACATTAGTGAATCCTCCATTTTTAAGACGAACAGCAGACTTATCTGTCTTGTTGCTGTATCCATGCTTAATAAGAACAGGTGGATGACATTGTAGCGAACTGATTAATGAGTCAGTTAATACCCCTCCTTCATTAATGAAGGAGGGACAGACGGAAGGAAATAAGGATTAAATAAACAAACAAACAAACAAAGATTTAGTGGTAGTGCATCCACGACATTGGGAAATATTCTCTCTGGGGAGACCATAAAACCAAACGAGGAATGGCGTAAACTCAGATATTCAAATCCAGGCCACATCGGTGTGAAGCGAGTGCTCTCATCACTGCGCCAACCTTCAATCTTGGACAAAAATGTTAAGAAAAATGCACGTTGTATGTCTAATTTTAGAATACTTCCCTCTAAACCCCGTTCACTCAAGATACTTCCGCTTCCCCCACAAAAAAACAATGTTGAAGGGTGGCCGGAACATTTTTGTTCCCGATTAAACATCATTGACCACGAAGGGGGTGGGGGGGGGGGGGGCCACCATTTTGCCAAATTCACAGGGGGGGCCCCCTAGGAGAAAAAAAGCGCAAAATTCTTAACACTTTTGCAGCTTCTAACAACAATAGACTCTGGCCGAAGTCCCGCAACAGCGGCTTTTGTTACAGACACATAGTGCCGTGAATTTTAAACTAAATGTAGTTTAAATGACTCCTTTTTAAACTATTATTGACATTCGGCTTGTACATCTGACAGTTGACTTTCTGAACTAGGTAACGAGCTCCTGTACTCTGGAATAGATCGTTGCACTTAAAGCGTAATCGTAAATATCAGTATAAATAGATTCCAATACTGTAATAGATAAACCTACCGCCAGTGCACTGCATAAGAATAGACAGAACCTTCGCCCAAAGAAATCAGATACTGCTCCAAAAAAGAGAGAACCTGCCATCATACCTCCAACAAATAGCGACTGCACTGTGGCAGCAATGTTCGCCTTTTCGCATATAAGGTTCCACTAAAACAACAACAAAGCAAAGATAAAAACAAAAAGGACGTTTTCGAACAAAAACAGCAAACGACGTTTTTTTTGAAAACGAGACAACTTGTTCATTAATAGTAAGCTCATGCATAATGTGACGTCATACAAAGAAGCAGGCCGGCATCTTGGATAGCATCTTACATTCTCAGATTCCGTTTGTCTATCAGTCTGTCTGTTTTTATGTTTTCATGTGCAAATCAGGGCAATTGTTTTATAACTCTCACTGGGATTTAAGAAATAAACAAGGATAGCAAAAACTATATTAATTCTGGCAGTTGAGAGTAGTATGGTAGGGACTGGTTAGACTCCATTCTTGCGGAGGAATCTCGTTAACATTTCCTGCATAGGAGTCTCCTTAACATTAACCGCATTTTATTCATGAGATAAAAACAAAGGCAAAAAAGGCTATGACATTATCCATCTAAAACCTGTCAATCCGCTTCAACCATCTAAAAATACCAAACGGCTTAATCCTAATGAGATTCCACCGCATTCTATTAATGAGATTAATACAAAAGGCTACGACGTCATGTGCGTTAATAAGGACTTTAAGATCCAACGACGCGACGGCAACGAGAACGTCGCTTAAAAAGTGGATTTGCGTTCTTTCAGTTTTAATCGCGATTGTTCCTACCCACTTACTTGGTCATCCTTCAAGTTCAGAAAGAGAAATAACATTTCGTCGTTGCTTGTTTACGTTTTACATAAAACACGAAATTAGGCATTTTTACGTCGCAGTCGTTCAAAAACGGCAAAGAAAATGTTCAAAAACTTGCTGCACGTGTACAGTTGTTGTTTTGCTTATTAAAGCTATAATTTACGTTCTCGTTACCGTCGCGTCGTTGGATCTTGAAGTCCTAAATGTATTCCACTGTAAGTTAATGAGATTTCTCCGCAAAAAAGGGGTCTAGCCAGTCCCTTCTATACTACTGTTGACTGTCATCACCATGGAAATGGCGTATTTAGAACTGAACTCGTCCGCCTCGTTTCCAAGTCCAAACCGCAGATACTGTAACAAAACAAGAAATGAAACCAATTCTCACCTGAGTCACGGTGCTAGTAAATGACTGGTCGAAAGCGTAGCTTGTACATTCGGCACAGCATTTGTTCTCGTCACACGTGACGTTGGGAGTCACGCAATGAAATTTAGGCGTGCCAGTAGCGAAGACCAGTGAAGCTATTTGTATGGCGCTGGATACAATGACCAAAAAACAGGAAGAGAAGTACAGAAATTTCTGCCATAATCCAAACTCGCCAACACATCGCAAAATATCGTCAAAATGTTGATCAGCTTGTCGAGACATCCTATGTAAAAAAAAATAGAACTTGCCGCGTTTTTTTTTTTTTTTTTCAACTTTTGACATGGACAAATTAAAGAAAATCCGTCAATTCTGCTGAAAAAAGCGCATTAAATTTAGTAAAATTGCCAAGTTTGAAAGTGCTTTGTGAAGAATATGGCTCCTCAAGTCGCGACACTTTACAGACGATGGGGAACAAGTTTGTGCACCCCACCACATCTGTAAATTTTCGAAACTTTGCGGTGCTATCTTCGCTCGCTTAAGACGTATCATCTTGAAAGTGGGCAGTTTGTTTATTTTAAGGAGCTATTTCCAGTGGTGTCGACGGATTTTCCCTTATTCGTCCACGTCAAAAGTTTAAAAAAACCGAAGAAGGGTCTATTGCTACGTGTAATGTCAGTATGTATTGGAAGAAAGCTAACGTTTAATAAGTGTATCTATAATTTCTTATTCTAAAATCATATTTTCTGAGATGTAGCCGAGTGTCAAACATTCGACTCAGTATTTCATCACTATATCATACACCTCAAAGCTCTATGCAAAAATACTCTTCGGCGTATCTTAGAAATCTCTCCTCGGTGTTTTAATTAACACTGTGACTGAAACGCCCTGTTGAAGGGGGTCTCAATAAAGTTCTTTTTTTTTTTTGATCTAGAAAAGAACCATCTTTTCTCGGGTTTGTTATATCGTGACTTGAAAGACTTATAGAATGCTTTCCATTGTGCCAAGATTTCTTGAAATTTCGGTAGAAATAGAAATGGAAGGCCTCGGTCCATGGGCAAATTTTCGGGAAAAAGTTATCCTCCTCCTTAGATATTCCTCTTTGACCGTTCCTAGTGTCCGACCGAAACTTGCCGCTTCCAGTCCCAATTCCCTTAAAAGTTGTCAAAATTTGGTCGAATCCTAAATGGAACCCTTTCATCCGTTGGGAACCTTTACTTTAATCTAACAATGTCGTTCCGTTTTTCCTCTTACAGTTGCACCGGTCTCTGATCGGTCGGCTTTGGATAATGGAAAGCATGGACAGCATAGCTTCAGTATTGACCAATTGAATGCACAAATTTAATGACATGCAAGGACCTTGAGAACTGGTAAACATTCAGTCTACCAAATTCATATATCTAATTTGTATTTGGCCTTAGGGGGAAATGTAGGGTTGAATGACTGAAACAGTGGAACATGGTGATAAGAATTTTGTTATGCCGTATTTATTCGATTAAACGCCGCGGCGTTTATTGAATTTTTAGCGTTTCCAATGCGTCGTTTATTCAAGGGCGGCGTTTATTTCGAAATCCCTTTTTTTAATCACTGACAACAGTTACTGTAAATCGTTTATTAATATTATGTAATTTAAAGGTTCCATTGTCACTGCTATTTTGCTGAGATAGAATCGTAAATGTCTGGATGGTGTAAATTACCAAGTTGTACCGCAGTTTTTCTTATCATCCTCGAGTAAACACCGTATTCTTCTCGTTAGGCCGCGGCGTATATTCGAGGGCGGCGTTTAATCGAATAAATACGGTATAGCTGGAAATTTTTTCCCAGCAGCAGGTGCTCTCATTGGTGTTTACTTTGAGGTCACATGAAATCTAACAATGACACTGTTTCCCGCTTAAATCTCTGAGCGGGCAATATTGCAGTTCCGGCCCCTCTCGTTTCCAACGATCATTTTATTGCTGGTTTTCAGTGTCACGCCATTCAAAATAGATCAAAATTAAAAATCAAAACCGTTCAAAGACAAAGTCCTGAATCTGGGAAATGAATGGAGGTAAATATGCAAAGACCCTGGCCAAGACTCGTATAAGAGATATCCGAAGAAATGTTTAACTCAAATTTATAGAGATTTGTATGGAGACGCCATGCTGGGGCCCATCCGGATGGGCACCAAGATGGAAGACGGAAACCAACAGAAACATCTGTTAGCGAGTTTTTCTACAAGAGCGTGAGATTATTCCTCGAGGAACTCATAAACATTGAAGTAATCCTTTTTCTTATACATGAACAGTTTAGATAGAAAAATTTCCCCCAAATAAGACACTTTTTCAACCTACCTGACAGCTCTCTCAGCCTTCATGTAAATGCCACGTCACGTAAAAGCTTAGAAATTCAAGCGTACTTTTATCACAAAATTTAATTTCATTTAATTTCATTTCATTTCAAAACTTATAAGGCGCAAATATCTATATAAATATATTCAAATGCGCCGCAGGGAAAAAATTATATTTAGATACAGGCTTAGGAGTAATTAAAAAACTTAAGTACGAAGGTGCTAAGCCCTTAAAAATCTTAAAAACAATCAACAGGATTTTAAAAACCAAGAACCATTTTGACGCGAGAATTGAAATGAATAATTTTTCAGCTGCTCTAAAACATCATGAAAGTAAAATCTCCGTGGGATCGATAGTTTGAATTTGAAAGTCGCCATGTGAAAACCAACAGTAAAACTTTCGTGCTACCCGGTAGAAAAAGCTCGCCCGGTTGACCTCGGGTACTATGAATTTGGCTTGTCTCCAGGTGAAATGTACACACCTTATCTCACGCAAGACAAGAATCTTATATTATGGATGAAAACACGGCCAAGATTAAACCAACATCATTTCGGTTACTAATCAATTAAACTGCTCACAATTTTATTAAAACGGTTATTACAGTTAACTTAAGAGTCACCTCTGTGTTGTCTCCTTCACAGCCGCTCGGGCTGGAGGTCAAGCAAGCTTATTATAGGAGACCACAGAAATCTAATGGCTTTGAACTGATCATGAGGTCACAATGATGATGTGTTCATTTTTTTTCTCAAATAAAATAGAACTTTAAAATCTCTGGCTGCAAACATAAAAGATGATATAAGGAAAAAAACTGGAATGCCTAACTTGCAATTATTCAAACTCGGTATGAACTTAAATTAGGTCGCTTTCAGTTGCAGAGCGATAATCTTGCATGAGAGGATTGTGAAAAAGAAAATGTCCATCCATTTCATGTGCTTTGCAGGTTCTAGACACTCTATATTAGACCAGGGTGTTTTGAATGGCGAAATGTACCTTTTGGAAATTGACAATAATTTACAATCTCTCTATCTTGACTTACCTTAGATAACTCAAAATGAACAACGTAATAATAGGCAATTTTCATGCACTCCACCATGAAAGCCACGGAGGTACTAAAGGTACCTTGCGGAAGCGGCTATTAATTACATGTTGGGTCAAAGATTTTTTTTGGCCAATCAAAAGCTTGTATTTAAATCATGCGCAGATGTTTCATGCAAGAAGTACCGATAGTCATCAATGTAAGATTGTCTACATTCAGTACGAATTCACATTTTCACCTCAGTCCAAGTATAAATGATGCCTTGAGCTTTGGGTCGAACACTTTACACTGAATTAATCTTCTTAAATTCAATTCATCAATTCAACATTTTTTTAAATCATGACATGAATGCTAAATAGCCCACGTTCAATATATTAAAATTATAAACATTTTATTATTAAAGTATTAACACGACTGTGAGGCTTTAGGGTCAAAATCAGAAATTTTTCACCTCTCCTACTGTCTCGTAACTCCCAGAAGAAGAGACTTGAGCACTGGGAAAACCAAACCAAATGTAGAGAAATGAGCAGAAATCCTCGGAGTCATGTTAGAATTTTAATATATCGAACGTGCGCTATTAAAGTCGATTCAAGATGGCTATATAGGTGGGAAATTCTTATAAATATCTACCTATCTTCAATCAGAACCATGGGTTGCTTTTATTTACTCAAGTTGCTTCGTCCTAGCCATCCATTCAACACTGAGTAGACGTAACGCCAACTTGGGTCAAGAGCTGTTGTCAGCTCCTCAGTGTTTATTTGCCAGGTGTCAATTGATCACACATTTGGATCACATCGGATCACACATCTGGCAAAATGACAAAAAGAGGTAGTACCACTTTATGAGAAAACCTAGCTTGCCTGTGCACAAACGCCCCCTCCCCTCAGAAAAAATCCGGGGAGGGCGTCTGTATACAGGCAAGAAAAAAATCATGCATCATAGTAAAAACAAACGGGTTAAATCATGGTGATTGCATTGCGGCGTTGTAATAGGTAGGGATATATCGTTGCTGCCATTAGAATTACTCTGTCTTCGAGAAATTCAAATCTCAAAACATTTCTAAAAATTCGAATTTTGGCTAATGTACCACCCAAACATCCAAACAGGTGACCTGTTTCAAGAAATGATATTAAGAAATCCCCAATGAGAATTTAGAAAAGTTCGAAAATTCGTTGCCTGCGTGCAGACGTCTCCTATTTCCTTTGTTGCACGCGCAAAAGGGAAAAGGTCCCTTTTCCGCGTGCAACAAAGGAAATAGGAGACGTCTGCACGCAGGCAAGAAAATTCGATAAAAAAGACCTTTTTTTATTTGCGAAATTGATGCAAATTTCAACAATTTTCCTGGAAGGTCTGGAAGCAAAGCTCCTATCGACTTGATGTTACACACGCATTCACCAAGATTGTATAAAAAGGTCTCTCAAAATAACTTTTGTAATAAAGTTTTTGTTTGCACCATGATTGCGTGCAGTTTTGGCGGTCGAAATAACGCCCAACTTTAACAGCAAAAAATCGATTCTGATATGTTGCAAATTGATACTACATGGAAGAGCTGTGATTCTTTTAACTATACCTGAAGTTTCAGCACTACAAATTAAAATGCTTTCGAATAATAAAATTTTACTGGAGCTCCTCAGGTCACCGTACGCGACAAGAACGTGAAATGTACCGAAAACGTTGTAAACAAAGGAAAACTTACACGCAAGTTATTTCTAGCCCATCAAAGCGCAAAGAAAGGATGGAAATTTAGGTATTATCTCAATAAGTATTGCTTTCTGAAAATCTAAAAAGACGAAATTGTCCGTCGAAAAGTAAAAAAAAGATGAAAAATTTCTGAAAAAGAGTACCAGGCTGAAGGTCGCGAGATTGCGTCGGTTGACCATCGTTTAATTCTGAACTCTGAACTAAAGTAAAAGGCTTTCAGTCCATCAATCAAGTCCTTGAAAAGGCTTCAAGTACCCTAATAAACTATCGACAAAGTATGCCAGATAATAGAATTCCTTTGATAAAAATGAACTACAACACTTAAGTCAGATTGGTGTCAGAATCATGATGATAATACCCACAGGGTAAACGTGGCGTAGCCTGAATTTCAGCCGATTACTTCGAGTCCTTTCTACTCCTTCGGTTAGTATTTTGCTTAAGGAAACCAAATTGGGCGTGGCATGTAAAGCGACCATACAGTAGCATTAATTGTATGACCGTTTGTTTGTTTGTTTATTTATTTATTTTTTTTCACGTCCTAAACACCTTGAATTGGACCAAAATCTGCAACGTACCCCTTTTAGGGAAACTACGAGAATTCTTATCCCTTTCATAAAGGAATCCCCCTTCTCCGAAGATAAAGCCAAGGGAATGCGCGTTAATACATGTATCTGACAGGGAGTAAAAGAGGAAAGAGAGAGAGGTTTCTTTTAAGATTTTACTGAGGAAGAAACTGATATAAATAGAAAGTGTCACGAGGGTCTTTCAAATCGTTAAGACATCTGCGGCTACTTCATGGCTGTGTTGAGTTTGCAGATCACTTAGTTTCTTCTTGAGGACGGACAGCCCTGACATCACAATGGTCTCGGGTTTCAGTGAGCCACAGGACTGTAAAGAAACGTGAAAAGAGGTTAGGACAAGTGTAAAGCAGTCCTTTACAGACCTTTGTACGATTTGTTTTAAACTTTAGACTGACCAGGTGGCAAAAATCCATAAACACCCTCGGAAAAAAGCACCCTAAAACTAGTAAACTTGCGAATTAAGTGTGAGATCGGTGTATTGAAAACTAACAAAGATATGAATCATCAACATAGCAAAATTTAATACAAATTTGTATGATTGTGGACAACTTTGTGGCCCATCATTCAAACGTCTGTTAAATTACACGACTCGTTAGGAGGGGTTTAACTCTAGCAACTAGAATGACTTATTCCTACTGTGCTATAACATAGCATACCTCTACATTAATGAAGAATTTGTCTGCTTTTGCATTTGGGTCAAAAGGAGCTTGATCTGGAAAAGGAAAAAAAAAGAGAGAGTTAATTTCATAAAGATGGTCTCAGCATTCAGACAACGCCATAGACTGATCTCTTGATCTCTTAATATCGTAAAATTGCGAAACATCTCCACTTTGCAAAAAATATAAAAATAATTTGTACTCTACGCATTTCAACATGGGGTGAGAAAATAATGAGCAAGTAAACATGTAGTTAAAACTAGGTTTGATCAATCACTTCACCCTGCAAGCAGAGCCATCTTTTGTCTTCTTTTTGGTCGAGACTGCCTTAGTCACGTAACAGTGGCGGATCCAGGGGAGGGGCCCGGGGGCCCCAACCCCCCCCCCTTATTTTTAGACCAAAGAGAGGCCCAAAGGGCCGAAAAAAATTTTTTGCGACCGTCCCCCCCTTATCTCAGGGTCTGAATGCCCGCCCCTCGCCCCCTTCCTTATCTGAAGGTCTGTATCTGCCGCTGCGTAAGGCCTATGAAGTCGCCGCAGCCCGGACTTCTCGACGAGTCAATTTTTCTTTCTCTCGTCAAACTGGTTTTTCGCGTGCGTGCATCCACTTTTTTTATTAACTCATTCGCTCCTGGAGATTTTGCCGAAAAACGCGTTTTGAAGCTAGTCGAGTGGTTTTCTGGTCACTGTCATGCTATAAAGGGCTAAAACTTACCACAAACCGGTTTACAGGTCGCACACTTCGCGGCCTTCTGATCCAGATGCAAAATATCAGCTTGCGAAGTTCGGGCATGCGCAGAAAGCAAAATTTCGAGTTTTTGGGTTTAAAAGTGACACAGCAGTCTTGACTTTTACTTTTCGCTTTCTCTCCCCCCTTCTTTTTTCGCTTTTCTTGCCTCATTTTTTTTTTTCTCTTGCTGGGCATTTAGTAGGCTTCAATTTGGTGGGAAGAGTTTTTAGGAAAGCTTTTAGGATCTGAGGATTAGGTGAAAGGAAAGGTAGGTGGGTAATGGAACAAGATTTTCATGGAGATTTTCAGGTCAATGTCACGTGGTTTTTTGCTTCTTTCTCCGGTGTCCTTGACTGAATTGTGCTCATTCTGGTATGGTTTGAAAGATCTCTTCACTCTGCACAAGTTAGCGAAGAAAGTTGTCCTTGACCGTTAAAACTGATGACGTCACAAAGGGTAGAAAGGACCTGGATCCGCACGGGCGGTTACGGGCGGTTCAGGGGCGAATGGGTTAAACCAATGGTTGTAACTGAGCCCGCTCTACCAAGCACACGGCCATTAAGCCTGGGGTTGAAACTGTATCCTAGCAACATGCAGCGCATGCTCAACGAAGATCTTACTCGATCCATGCAGAGTCTTTCTTGAGTACGCGACAATCGGGTAAGTGAAAGAAGGGCTCTGATCACTCACTTCAGTTTCATCACAGATTGCTCTCTGGACTAATATAAGAAATACGGGACTGCTTACAGACTTGCAGTCTAGAATAAACTCGAAGTCGATTAACAAATACCTTGACTAAAGACTTAAAAGACAAAATTTATTTCAAAACAAACAAAACATGCATTACGTCAAAGTCTAGTCTGTTTACTTACAGGTGTCTTCGTCCAGTTCTGTGTATTCACTTTTAGGCCTACAAAGAAAAAATGTGTCGCTGCCGTAAATGATGTGAACATGACGGGAAGTCTGCAAAACTGGTCACTCCTTTTACAAGTACCTCCTGGCCCCTAGCTGGATGTTTTCGTTACTTTTTTTCCTCTTCGCTTCAAAAAGTGGGAAAGCTGACTTTTACGCTCACGTAGAAGCGACTATGCCAAAAAGAAAGGTTTTCATGTTGAAGGATTCGGGAATACGTTGAAAGGTCATTTGCAAGCATGCACACTGCATCATTTTTGGGCGACTTAACTTCCGACCGCTGTTGTAGAGATCGCTGTGGCAATTTGCTTAGAGTCCCTATTACCCATGCACGAAGAGTGCAAATGCAAAGAATGTTTCTTACAAAGTAGGCTTGCTGGTGAAATTTGCTCGTCTGACATGCATAAGAGGGAGCCATTCAGCTTATGCTGGTTAATAAATGGGGTTAAGTTAATTAACATCTGATTAAATAACTAGCATGGTGTTCTGGACTGTAAATTTGGGTAAAGGGCATTCATGCAGTTAGAGTGAAAAACACACAACTCACTTTTGACAAAAACATGACCTAAAAATCAATACCATGCATACATATACATGTATGTACAAAGAAAAAATCTTAAAATCTTAAAATCTTAACACAAACCATTCCTCCGGTCTTGGGTATGTTGTGTGTCTCAAGGAATTATCAGGGTCATACTCAAATGCTACGCCAGCTGTTGGATTCCATTTGGCATGTTCTTTGGCAAAGCCCTGTTATGTAAAGAGACATGAATTTTAGAATAAAAGATACTGTATTTACTAGAACAAGCGCTCTGGTGCATATTAAAGAATTGTTTTAACTGTCTTTCATTTTGATTATATCAGGACCAAGGCACTTATTGAAGGGGGGGGGGGGGGGTCTTTATCGCTTTTTTTTCCCCAATGGGGGGGTTTTTTTGGGGGGGGCCCTTTGGGGTTTTTTTTGGAAACAAAAACTACGGGGTCAGGAAGGGGCGGGAATGGGAAGAGTAGATCTTTTTCATATTTTTCAAAGGCGCGAACTATAGGCTCGCGTGGAAATAGACATGATATAAAAAAAAATAAAATAAAAAAAAAAAAAAAGATATTATAATGAAAATCACAGCTTGGTTATTGATATTATAGATTTTTTTTTTTTTTTTTTTTTTTTTGTGAAAAGCAAGAGGGAGATGTTTGGGGGGGGGGGGGGGGGGGGGGGTCCTTATCAGCTTTCTTGTCCCAAATGTGGCGATTTTATAGGGTGGGACCTATTGGAGTATGTATGAGAACTAAAACTACAGTGTCAGTCAAGGATCAGGAATGGAAGACATGATACTCTTACCTTTTTTGCAAAGGCCCGAAGCTTGAGCTCCTGTAGAAAAGATAAATAATGTGACAAAAATGAAAAAATCATCTTGGGCGTGGCTTACTAATGGTACTCGCTAATGAGGGAAGTAGGAGTAGTGTTGACTGAAATGATGATTTATTTTTTGTTGAATAAAACAAACATGGAGCCATAAGGGGAATTGCAAGTAGCCCATGAATCAGCCCATACAAGTCATGGAATGGCAACGACAGTACACTGTATGACGATTTCTTTTGTATGGGGTTGTAGCTAAGAAAAAAGGCAGCTGGCTGATAAAAGATTGAGCCAGTCAAAAGAAAGGAAAAAGGGGCTTCCTTTAAGCCATGTGATGACCGATTATGGAAAATGTTCAAGACATTGTTGGACCTGACATGAAATAAAATAATGTTTCCCTCACTGATTTTCCTTTTTCACTCCACTCCACTTGAGCCTATCCACAGGCTGATTGAAAACTTATGTGTTGTCTTTTTACTTTCTCATTAAACAAGAAAGAAAATTTGATCTCCTGAAATCACAGAAAACAATTCTGAGCTCCAGATGAGAATTGAACTCTTGACCTGGATGCTCTATTAACCACTGAGCTACTGGAGCTCTATGGTCAGCTATGTCTAATCCACTGATGTCCCTTTTCTGATGCATTTTGAATGTTTTTGTAGTGTCCTTTATGGAATTCTTGTAAAGAAATTGTTCCAGTTATAATCGATGAAAGATTGGGTGGGTCAATCCGATTATTTCTAATGATTGATTATGAAATACCAGCCAATTCCCACCACTACCCCTAGTTATTCAGCTTGTGTGGTGTATAATAATGGTACAGGTCAAATGATAATACCTGATTCTTACGAAGCTTTACAATCAAGATGTCTGCAAAAAAAAAGTAAGTTAGAGTGCACTAAAGAAGTTAAAAACAAGCAAGTAAGAGATGAAAGCCACAGAGCAGTAAGTATGAGCTGTGCTGTCGCTTAACAGATGAAAATGAATGAAATCAGTCTGTCAATGAAAAGAAGCACCCACACATTAAAACCTACCATCCTGTTCACCATATTCACTGTTTTCATCCTCATGGTTTCGTGAAGTTACCTAGTCAGTAAAATAAAGCAGATGACGATGATGATGATGATGATGATGATTGATGTTTATTTAGCCTATAATATTATTATTCCTGTTATCAGATCTTGTGTATATTAGCCACAACAGGTTAATTATAAAATTAACCATTTATAATTCCTAGTCCTCTAAACAAAACCAATGTCGGTATATTAAAGTATTCTATGTCAAATCAATGAAGAGAATGAAATTATTGTATTATAGACCTTTGCTGGAGATGGTGACCTTAGTGAACCCCCTATCATTTGCTCATACAAGTATTTTTCCACAGTCTTCCATAAGGTCTGCCCTTGTGCCTGTCATACAGTATATGGTGGTCAGGTACACATCCAGGATTTTTTAATGGGGGTTGGCTGATAATAGTTGGCCACCAAACTATTGTTAATGTATTTCAAGCTGTCCTACATTTGTCCCAAATCATGGCGATTTAGGAAGGATGAATTGGAGACTCTAACAGTGAAACCTCTTGAAATGAACCTAGTCGGCCAAAAGTGAAGACGCCTTCATTTGTCTGGGGTGCTGCAGCACCACAAATTTCTCGCAAACCACACTTTTATCGATGGTTGCTGCATTTGTGTGGCTTAATGGCTTCACAAGGTTTTGTGACCCAAGTATTTCTATTTGTTTTTCCACGCATAATACTTTTTTGGTGGGCCCCTGGTGGTGTCTACCTTAGATCTTTGTTTTGTGCCCCAGGTCATCATCAAAGGGTTACTGTTAAACTACATGTAGATGTACAGGGAAAAGTACATGTACATGTTAATATCTTAAAGCCTATTTGTATAGGAAAAGGTAATGAGAAATGGCATCTAAAATGTATTAAGCTAAGCCCTCTACACTCTGTTACATACCGGTATCACCCTTGGATCTGATGAAATAAGATCTTGTGTTGTGACATGTCTTGTTTGATCATCTGTACATTTGACATCAAGAGTGAGTTCCACAGAACAGTCTGGACAAAATTCATCACATGTGCAGTCCTTCGGGGGAAAGAAAAGGAGGAGAGAAAAGGAGCTCAGGGTTACCTCTTGGACTCATACATGTATACAGGTTTAGAGATTTAGAGTTTCTTAAAGTTTTTATTTTTTGTCAGAGAGAACAGGCTTGCATTACGGTATATTAATCAGAGTTAGAGTCAGAAAAATCAGGCACATCTTGTCTTCTTTCATCCTGTTTTTCAGTAAACTCAAAAATAAGATAAACCTTAAAAAACATTATCGCACAGTGGCATTTTTCTTTTTACAAGTATCAAGAAAGTCTTAATAAACCTCTTTCATAATAGCAGCCTATAAATACATTCTTTCATATGTATGATAATTAGCTTTGTGACGTTGTTAGCACGTACCAAAAAAATACAATAAGAATTCTTACTTTCAAACGAGGTAAGAAAGGCTAATTATCATTTGAAGTAGACCCCCTTGACATTTAAGACTATAAAAGAATATATTCATAGGCCACTATTATGAAAGAGGTAAATAAAACCTTGTTTTTTTGCACTTGCCTTCCAGGGCTGATTTTCATTTGGTACTTGATAGTGATGTCACAGGTACAGTGTAGGAGAAACATTCTAGAATAAGCTCATATTCAGATATACTATTTACAGTGTACATTGCACATACATACATGTACAAAAGATCATTACCAGAAAGAAAAAAAGATGCCACTGATGAGCCTCAGTCTTGTGAATGCATGAACAAACAGGGGGTTCAGAACCAACTTGTTGTTATTCTAGCTGACTGCATGCTTATGGACACATATACTTATGTACAACATACACTTATACAACTTACTCTGGAATAACACAAGCGATCAACCACCTCATCACTAGTCAATGGAATGAGACCTGTGATGTATGTGAGAGTACACACAGTGAACAATCTTCAATAATTTATTTTTTAGAAAAGTTATCGTACCCTTGTTAATTTAGACAAGTTTTGGATCAACAACATCCATTGTCAGTAACTATTACAGACACCACCAGTGGGTGTGATATAATGTGGATTGAATTACAATCAGAAAATTAAAAATGAATTTATAAGATTTCTAACTGATGGTAAGCTCTGAATTAAGCTTGCAAGAGAAGGTCATACTATATAGAAAGTATGACCATTCAAAATAATTGTCAGAGCATTTATTTCTCCCATTACGTACTTCACATTATTCCTTGTAATATCATGGAAAAGATACATCAGATAAGGGTAGCTGTTGTGATAGCTCAGATTTTTCAACCAGGCATGAGAAATTGGTCTGCAAGCAGTGTGTGATCCACAGGCATGGGTTACATAGGCAGCAGTATTGATTTCAAATGTTCTAAGTCTAGCCTGGGGTTGACCGAAAGGGGGGCTCAGATATTAAGTGCCTTCTATGCAACCTGATAACAGCCCTTGACTAGAATGAATGTAAGAGAGCAAAAATGATATAAGCTAAAGTAGTCTGTACTGTTGATTAAAATAAGCCTAGTTAACTTCTTTAAGTTTTAGCTTTTACATACCATAAAATAAGCCCTCCCTTTTCAGGGGAAGAAAGTAAATGAGTCCCCCTCTCTTTAAAGCCCCTTCCCCCTCTATCCCTCCCCTTTATCAGTATTCACTAATAATATGATAGACTGTGTTCATCAATCACAATTGTAAAACTTCATGTGGACAGATCAATCCAGGATGGTTTATTCACCACCGGGAAGTTTGAATTTGTTTTTGATCCTCGCCTGTATGACCTCCTACTTGTTGTAAACAAGCTTTTCCACTTTGCATTCTAGTTCTTTCAGGTGAACTGACAGAGCTGTCATTAAGAGCCATGACCCCGTAACACCTGTTACAGCTGAGCTCACTTTATGTCACGGGCGATCTAAGTGGAAAGGTAACTACACAAACACTATGAATTTTATGTGAAATGTTACGGGTGATTCTTCATTTGCTATGCTGCTTCAAAACTTATTACAGCCCTGAACAGATGTACCATCATCTTTGCTAAATTAAATAAGCCACCCCCCCCCCCCCCCCCACCAATCTAAAAAAAAAAACAACATACGGTGATGCGACACTACCTCCCCCCCCCCCCCCCCTCAAATGAGCTTGAAAGAAATAAGCCCCTGGGGGGCTTAATAACGGATTTATGGTACAGGTAAATTAACTACCACCTAGTTTTTGCTTACCTAATCTGTGGGCAATAAACTCATCATGCAGCACAGACGTATTGTTCTCAATCTGCACCCAATCGATAGCTAATAAAGGCAAAATATTAATGTAAGCTTATTAACTATACCAAGGTTGTCAAAATAGTCTACAGGGCTGTCACTAAAGGGCCAGGGGTCAGAGATTTCCCCTGGCTACTATGGGTGCAACAACCCCCCCCCCCTTCCACCCCCTACTGGCTTCTTTGATAGGGAATAAAAGGAAAATAGAGCAAACAAAACTTTTTAGTCATTTAGTTTCCAATCTACTAACTGCATAAAAGACCGGGAAACTCGAAATCTTAGTGACAGCCATGCTCTACAAGACTGCAAGAAGTTTGGTGTAATCATCTACTGTGAAAGTTTGGGAGGGGTCTGATCAACTGCTTTTTTCGTACAACCTGGAGTGGAAAAGGTGGTGGAGTAATGACCTTATAGGTCATGCAAAAAGAACTGTGCGTATAACATTGCCAGTGAATAAATCAAGACGTTGTTTTATGTGAGATTGCATTTGGTGCTTAAAAATTTGGTCATTAAGTGCTGAACCAATAGAAAGGTACATACAGGTCTTTGCATTCCATAAACTGAGATTTTTCTGCTGCATCAGAAGCGGGGAATTCTACTGCTACATTACAACAGCAAAATGTTTATATTGCATGTGTAGCACCTGTTTCGTGGCTTTAAAAACAAAGTATTTTACTTTCATAGTGCAATATTTCACCTCATGGCTTAAAGAACGAGGTAAAACCCCGTCTTATGACCACCCTGTTTATACCATCACCTAGTTATTACAACCATATAGAGCGTATCCACTGACGTGGCATTCACCTATGCTAATTTATATGAACAAAAGAAAGTTTTTACATAAGGGAAGAGTTCAATTCCCGCAGAGTTGTCTTTGTACACCAACATGGCTGCCATTTCATTGTTTTGGAACACCAACATGGCTGCTGTGATGTCAAGTGAATATGCTCTACTTGACCCAAACATAAAATCACTGAGTCATTTTATTAATTTGAAGACCCTCTTATTAAAAAAATGTGACCACCTCGTTATTACACCCAGAATTTTATGGCCCATTGGTGGTCGCATCAACAGGGTTCCACCTAGTACATGTGAAGTGCTCTTTTGTTATTATTGAATTGCATTCACTGTTATTTTTGTGTGTACTAATCAACTGGAATACTGGTACGAATCAACTGGGGACACAAAATGACTAGTTTCCCATTGAGTAAGATAAGCTGCATAGCAGATTGGCCGTTTTTGTTCTAAACTTTTAACCACGAAAATGCTGTCATCCCAACTAGTTGCCTTTTAGTCTTCGAGGTTGTGCGCTGCCTTTTTTCCATCTTCAGCTTGGGTAACCTGTGGTTCGACATGAGTCTGCTAGCTTTCCCGCAGTACGTATAGACATAAAATATACATGTTGTGTATCTCCACCTAGATTTCCATAAAATGCTCAAACATACCTATCGTTGGAGTTTCCGCTATAAATATCCTTCGGAGGCCATTGGCCATGCTGCAAGTTTATCGATCAAACATCAATCAATAATCTTATTCTCGAATCAATTAACGATCGGCCAATTAATCGACTACAGCATACCTTAGATCTGTGTTCTCGATAACAAACTTCACATTTTCTTCTGTTAGCTCAAGAATTTTGACACTAGGTTGGTTTGCGTAGGGCATTTTCGACGGTGCACGCTAAAGAAGGCTAGAGGCGAAATCCAATATGGCGGCTTATCAGGTCGCACAGATCTATGGGAGAGGACACTAGGGAACTGGGAACTAATTTTTAAAAGATTTCTGATTGGTTCATTCAAATAAATGCCGGTTTAAAAAACTTGCCATTCATTTCCTTGCGTTCCATTTCGCGACAAGAATCGAGTTTGAAGGTTGAATTTTTTGCGATTTACTACAGAAATTATGGCCGGCGGAACAGAATGTTTTAAAAGGTACAAAGCCAAATACAAGCTGTCGTCGTTTTCAAAGTTTATCTGTTTCTCTTAAGGCATTTTTTTTCGCATTCTTTGCAGGTTAATGGCAGATTTCCGCGAGCTCACAAGGGACACAACGGTAGGAGAATTTTAAGTGCAAATGTTAGATTTGTTGTCTTTCATTGTGACTTAATCTTAATGCTGACTCGAAAATTTTGAAGCTCGTAATAGAAAAGTATGAGAAACTATACTTTTGAGGATATATTCCTTCGGTTTACTCAACTTTTTGAGGTGGAAATTTTACCCTTTTAATTTGGTTGTTTTCAGAAAAACAGTGTTGTGTCAGCGTGTCCCAGACTAGAAAACACGATGGAGTGGATCGGTACAATCCGTGGTGGAGAGGGAACGGTAAAAACTCTCATAGTATTTCTCCCAACAACTTTGAAACGTTTTTCCTTTCAACAGTTTGAAAAAGGTCTACAAATAAACAATACTAGAAATTTAGGCTCACTCAGTACATAGAAAATTACTCTTTCCGTTGATACAAAGGGTCATTAGGGAATTAAAGAAACGCCGTCACTCCTTAGAAAGTAAGCTTAGGGGTGTCTCAGTCGTGTCTTGGCAAGTCCACTCATAGTATAATAAATTATTACACAGTTAGGAGCTAGCTATACCCGGCTTGACACTGCATAGATGTCTAAATGATATGAAATGATGTCTGTTATCAATATAGGTATACGAGGGAAAAGAATACAAACTATCATTACAATTTCCAAGCTCGTATCCTCATAAGCCACCATTGGTTAAGTTCACCACGCCCTGCTTCCATCCAAATGTTGATCAGGAAGGCACCATCTGTTTAGACATTTTAAAGGTATTTGCTTTTCATTCTGTTTGCACTACTTGTTACAAGACAGTTCTAAAAATAAATAATTTTTGGGTATGTTTCATGTTAATTTATTTACCTGCGCAGTACCAGGATTATCGGTGCCTTTCAAATAAAATCTGAATTATTTAAACCTGTTTTTATTTGTTTATTTTTCTTAGGAAAATTGGTCATCAACATATGGCGTCAGAACCATATTACATTCAATACAATCATTACTAGCGGGTGAGCTTGGCTCTTTCTAGTTGTCCATGCCCTTCGTCCACCAGTAATTTAGGAGAACAAATTGTGACAAATACAAGTCCTGAAAGAAAAACAACATCAGATGATTAAGGATTTCGAAGAATGGCCCTCCCCCAGGAAATTCATATCAAAAGTTTATAAACTTCTAGCCTGTGAATGAAGGTGTCTCCCCCTCAACCCCTAGGGATGCATTGAAGGGGAGGCATCTGCATCTCAGCAACAGGCAATTCCATACTGGTGATGTAAATCAGTGTTTACCATTGATAACTCATCTGAGAGTAGGAGCTAATGGGTGTTCCGAATGTAAATTTCTCAGAGTTCATGTTTCTGGTCTATTATGGTAATGTTTTGAGTTTTTCTGCTAGAAGAATAAATTCCATGAATAATGTCTGTTTTGTATTAGATTCATCCTTCTGACTTTTGACCTTTGTGACCTTTTGTCGTGTCCTTAATGCATTATAGACAATAGCGAAAATTTACAGTAATATTATGTAGAATTACCAGTTTGACCAATAAGAGTTGCAGACCAATTTCTGAACAGATTTTACGTCATTATTTTTGGAATAAATTCTGGTGTTGAGGTGTGTGGATGTCTCTCCTGTGAAATGTCCCTATCGGCAAGGAGGAAGGAGAGACAGTTGAATTGACAGGGTTCAGTGGGAATTACAGTGTTTATATCAAAATATATATCACAATTTTCATATATAGAAATATGACCGTTTTACAGTAACTGGATATTTTTGATAACTTCATACTGAATTTATAATAAAAATAAAAATGTGAATTTTTAATAAAATAATTATAATTTCTACAATGTAGATCCAAATAACAAAAGCCCTCTCAACGCTGAAGCTGCAAGATTGTGGAATAGTGAAGGTAAATAAAGTACTCAATTAATAATACTTAATAAAGTACTTAATTAATAAGTTACGATACATGTGCACTTACAAAAATTATAGTTATCACCCGAACTCAACCTTCTTTCCTGTTGAGTTGCTGAACATTGGGCAATAAAAGCCAAGTATATTGAAGATTATAAAAGTAACTAGGGCTGGTACTCTGAGACCATGAGGGCAGTGGCAGCTTCGTCACCCATAAGGACTGCATGACTGTGCTTCTGATTGGATGAAGCCAATCAGAAAGCATTAACATCCAGATCCTGATAGTGACACATCGTCACTTTAGAATTTCTACAGTCATTTCTCAGAATTGTCTTTTTGGCAGGGAAACAAGTGGTGGTTTATAAAATTTCAGCTGTTTCCTCAGACTAGTGTTTGCCTTACATTCCAGAATACAAAGAAGCATTAGAGGCATTTGAAGAGAAAAGGGCACGGAAGAAGTGACGGCCAAAAATTAAGCAAACTTCATATGACACTTCAAGATGATACTTTAGTTGAGTTAGATTTTGTACAGTCTTGAGTTGTTTCATTTAATGTGTAGCTTTAATTTTAGTTAGTGCAGATAGCAGTTACTGTAACAATAAATTAAAACAATCAACAGTCCACTTGAAAAACAGACCTTGAGTATTAGCTGTTTCTGGCTTCTCTCTCTCTTGTTCATAGCTACTGGTTTAATCTAATTAGGATTTTTTCTTTTACTAATTATAAACATTTTCATCAGACTTTGTGTACATACTATTATAGATTTTTGTCAATACTGCATTACTGCAGTTGTGCAAAAACATTAAAGAGACCAGTCTATTGCATCGGGTGAGGCCATTGAACCACTGCTCATCAACCCAAGATACTTGACAACATTTTAGATTGTTTAACCAAGGCATCAGCTATGCCATGGAAAAGATAGCATAGCCTGCGAGCATCTCACCGGCCTGATTCCACCTTCCTTCCCTAAATCATTGGACCACCATGTAGGCTATTTTTCTAAAATGGATCTGGTTGTTGAGGCGCATATTAATATTGAGCAAGTACTGTGTCTGTCCTATAATGGGCTTGTTTGATTGACTGTATTCTGAAATCAGAATAATAGGCCTTTTGCATTTTTAAAATTTGGTACCTAGTCAGTTGTTTTATAAAATTTAATAAACTTTTATAAACCTGAACTGAATTAATCTAATAATTATTTGATCATGTGATCAACTTTCAGTAAACACAAAAACAGTTTGCTTTTGAAAAATTTTGTTAGCACGAACTGAAAGAGCATATTAAAATTAGGCAACCTGTAAATTTTGGAAGAAAGCATTCACAATGAAACCACTGACCACAACTACTACATGTGTCAGGCATAATTAAGCGTCAAATTGATCACTTTGCTTGCATACTTTTCATCTTTTCCGAAAGGAAATGCATTTCAAAGTCTTGAAGAACACTTATGAACTATAAACCACAAAACAGAATTCCCTGACTTTTTACTGACTTTGACAATATCAAATATTTCCTCTGACTTTTTAAAAAATTCCCTTAGTTTTCCCTGACCGTGGCAACCCTGCATTCAATCTGGTTTAATGCGTTTCAACATCTAGAATCCTGCTAGGCTGCGAACGCAGATTGATGTACATACGATTTCCATTCCTCGCTCCTGCTCTCCACCCAACTTTTTGGGCCAGAAATATGTCTGAGTTTGCAGGTTCTTGAGTTTATGTGGTCCTAAAATCATAGTACAAGAGATTTGTAACAATAGCTTTTGTGTGTTCTTCTTCCAAATACTATCAATCCAATGCACCCCTAAATCTTTTGTTGGCAAGCTAAAAAAGGTTCTCCATGCATCCACCTCCATTAGCCTTCATCCACCATCATCTACCTCCATTAGTCCTAATTCACCTTCATCTACCTCCATTTGCCTTCATTCACCTTCATCCACTTCCATCAGCCTGAAGCTGAATGATGAAGTTAACTGAGGATCGGAATGTACTAGGATGAGGGTAAATGCTTATAAACAAATCAGAATTCCGCCTTTGAATTACAGTGGAACCCCGTTAATGCGACCACCATTGGGCCATAAAATCCTGGTCGTAATAACGAATTGGTCGCATTAACGGGGTCCTCAAAATAATAAAATGACTCAATGGTTTTTACGTTTGGTTTGAAAGAATATGGCCGAAATAACGGGGTTCCACTGTATACACAATAGCGACACGTCTCGGATGTGGATTGGTCAACAGCTCACTTTAAAACAGCTTGGAGCCATTTCTGCATTTAAGGCTATAACTTTTGAAGAGGCCACATTAGAATTAAAGGTCTGCAAGTGACAAATTTAATTGACTCTGCTAGTATTGAAAACAAGAAATCAGTAAATAGTTCACTTTATTTACACTGTTCATGTACAATATGAAAAATAAACCGAGCCCATACATTTTAATAGAAACTTCCATAAATCAACATACATTAATAATTAGCATTGCATTGCAGACACTACACTTTCTGACTGTATGGACTATACCAATCGTTTAGACGATGTGTGGGCTGACTGCAACGCAGGCTAACACTACTCAACCTGCTTAATGATCAGTTAAATTTTTACAACCTGGTGAATGGTGCTAAACCACAACCTCTGTATCTGTGTACATCAATATTAGGCTATGTTCAGACTATACTGGATAGCTTCTCATGGTGCCACAAAAAGCTATCTGGCATGGCGTGAACAGCAACAGCCCAGGACGGCACAAGTAGTTCACACACATTGAACACGGTGCCCGCACGGTTGGCTGAGAGGGTTTGGTGCACTAAATTACAGTCCTTGCTCCTGAATTTTTACTTTTGTCTCAGTGGCTTCCAGTCTGCGATCCTACTTATCTTCTTCCGCGACCAGCGGAATAGGTGTTTACATCGCACAAAATCTATTTCGAGATCGGCACAGCACAGCTTCACTCTGTCACAGAAATTGCGCCACCACAACCGTTCTTGTGTGTGAACAGAAGCCCTATCCGGTATAATTTTGGTGTTGGAGCAAAAGCTGTCTGGTATAGTGTCAACATAGCCTTAGTTTTCCTTCACAGACATTATTAAGGCGGACTGTTGTGTTGCAATCCCAACAATGACTGAGAAAAATTCACAGCTGTGGGTTGTTGAGACAATCTGCAAGACGGAAGGCTAAGGTGATAAACTATGAACTTCATACCCAGAGAAATGAGAACAAAACAAAATAATTATCAAAAGCCCCCAAGCAGATTCTCTTGTTTGGGGGTATCACACCAGCATCTACACCATCAAAGAGTGAAGGATAGTGGCTTAGGAAAAGGAGGGCCAATCTCTTGATGGCCATTTCTGGAAAGTGTCTATTGTTAAAGAGGGGGTGGCCCACTTTACAATCCCCAATTTACAATAATACTGGTAATATATTACATGCTTTATTCTTATGAAGTTTAAAGAAGTGCTGTAATGAATTTTCAACAACTAACCTTATTATCCTATAACCACAAATGAGATACCAGCCAGGTACCCCCCAAGATTTCATTAATGAATTTATTATTTGAAAGTTGAATCCATTATTTTGCAGTTGTAGATTTCAGATTCATCTCTGCACTCCTGCATGTCGTTAATAAGCAGTAAATAATTCACAAGCGAGACAGTTATGAAGTTTCTACCAGTTCAGTTTTTTATATTCAATTAGATATAAATATCTTGGAAGCAATTCTGTCCTTTCAAAGTTATTTCACTCTGACCCAACACAATTTTGATCTTCACTGCAGCCATGACTAACAGATTCAACTTTTGAATAACAAATTCATTGATGAAATCTTGGAATGTACGCTTGACCTGGCCTGACCGTAAAGTAAAATGGTTTGGTATTTCATTGGTGTTTATATAAAAAAAATAATAAAAGAACATTACATGGCTGCTTTGAGATATGAAATTTCTCCTTGTATTCAAATATATTTCACTCGCTTTTAACACTCAAAGAGAAATTTCATATCTCCAAGCAGCCACCTAATAAATCCTCTATCACTCCAAACATGTTACATGTATTCTTCTACGCTGGCAAATGCACATGCTCCTAGGCCACATTTTGACATGAGTTTTAAACATTCCTGAGCCTGTCCCAATATTAAATCCAGGGGAGGTTTCCTGGGCAATTGATGAGAATCTAAGGGCACAAAAAAGAAAAATACATTAGAAGAAAACGTAAAAGGAAAAAAGCAAATGAAATAGGAGCACACTAGATAGCTACAAACATAGGGTTGGATTAGTCACTTGCACTCCATGGAAGTTCCCAAGAAACACCTTTAAAGGGTTATTAATCCATGTTGAAAGTAAAGCTTGGTTTCATCTAACCTGTACAATCTACCAAGGGAGCATTCTTAGTGTAAAGAATTTCATTTCCCAAGCCATGAACTAAAGTAACACTGGAGCAAAATGAATGTTTCAACTGTGCTACAGAGAAAATGGGTTTAACCTCAGTTTATTACACCAGCTCAAAATCTCACAATTCCACAAATTTATCGAGGGATTTAAAAAAATTAATGCAAGTCTTTACTTGAAGCATACGCGACTAAAATCCAATACAACAATATAAAGTAAACATGAGGATTCTCAATTCCATTCCATTGTCTGCTTCCCCATCCTTGCTGCTGATCAGGCACTGATGTGCAACATAACTCACACCAATAACTGTCTCTTAATTACTACTTTCAGGTGACAGATTTGCAAGGTTGTTCTCACTTACCTAAAATAGCACTATTTAAAGAAGAGCATATTGGTTCCCTTTGAACAGGATCTAAAAGATAGCCAACAGGACTGCTCCAAGGATCAGTGTATGCAAGTAGACTAAAAGCCTCCTAGAATTTCAATTCAAAAAAACTCACATCATTACCTCAGCTATCCACTGGGGATTTTTTTATAACAACAGATAAAAAGTTTGATGGAATAACTGCCATTTGAGAAAATAATATACAGGGTCATACTTCACCCTAAATGAAAAAAATCATTAACGGTTTAATACTGATCAGTATTATTCAATGCACTTCAGATCTCAGCATCTGGATATCCAATGAAGCACTTAACAATTGCCGTTAAGTTTATGGTAGACAGTAATGTTAAAAAAGTTGACTTGCACAGGATGCACAATAGTCAGACAAAGTATTGAATAAAAGCAGAGTTTTCTGATTAAAAGACATCATGACTCTTCCTGATCATTTCTGGACGAGTAAGGCACAAAATTAATGGGTCCCAGTTAATGGCTCCCATTTTAATCCTGGATGTTCAAGTCAACAAAAGATGTTCATGTCATCAGATGTTAACTGCATCTGTCCTTTTACACTGGACGACAGAAGACGACTTACATGTACATGTGAATGTCTCACACGACTTACACATCCCCAGTATAAATACTTACCTGAAGAGCCTTTTTATTTGTTTCATTTTTGCCGTGTTCTCTTCTAAGCTGGATGCTCATATTTTGTAGTTCTCTCCCAAATGTCAATATCTTTTCTAGTACGGTTCTGTTGTGACAGCAAGTTTGCCTTGATTCCACTGCAACAGGGAAGAACAAACAAAAGACCGCATGGTGAGAAACTGTTTTTGGTAGTGTTTCTGACTTAGAACCAAACAAATTGAATCCAAAAGATTGCAGTCCCATAAACAAAATGTACAATCATAAAAAAATCTCTTTGTGACCATCATTGCGTACAAGTCTAGGTAGCCCCAAGTATAACCCACATGTCCTGCATAAAAAAGGTGACATTGAAACGTGTAATGTACACATTGTAGATCAACAATAGTAGGTTTGATTTCTCGCACCTTCAGGTCTTCATTCATTTTGCAGATGAAAACCAGTTGGATCGTGGTTTTTACAATAGGAGCTTAGATTATTCATTTATACACTGTTTGATGATGTTCACTGAGTTTTGGTGATCTTGATACTCAGGCTTAGCCCTTTGCGTTCCCCTGTCTAAAACAAACTGATTTAAGTGATAAATCTATAGTCAAATACCTCTACTAGGACTGTAATCATTCTCTTCCATTTTTGCAGTTCCATTTAAAAGTCCATTACTAGATGATTCTTCAAACTCTTCTACTTCCATTGGCATATTATCGGCATCAAATCCATTGTCTATACATGTACCATTAGTCACAAATCCATTCGTAGCTGAAGATGAACTGCTTCCAACACTTCCTACTGAGGTGGCACTGTATGAATGAGTTGGACTAACATTTGGGCTTGAACGTGGACTGTGTGCTGCCGGACGTACATCACTGTCACATCCACTGACCATTTCAACAAATTGTCGGCATTTTAACAGAAAAAGCAAGTTAGGATCCCGTTCTAAGAGTCCTGGGTATAATGTCTGTGTTGTTTCAATTGCTTCTCCTATTCTGCCTGCAAGAACAAGCTTTTGTATTCCTAAAAGGAAGAGAAAGACTGAAATTTATAATCTGAATGCAGAGAAAGATTTTCAAATATTACTACTACTATTACAGATACAGCCAGCATGAAACAGATAAAATAATAAACAATAAACTAAATCAAACACAGACACTGTGTGTAAAATGTCTAGATTCTACATACCTGCCTTACAGAGATGTGTGCAATTAAGAGAGTTTTAGGGCAGACCAACAAATAACATGCCTTCACCTCACAAAACCTTCATCCATTTATGTAGAAGGAGCTTCTAGTTATTCAGTCAGTAAGCTGGTCTCCACTTCACTTTGGGGGGGAGGGAGAAGGGTGGGCATAACACTGATACACATGTAAGCACTCGAATATGTTTCTTTTGATCATACATTCTACTTTCCCCATCCATTCTCTGCTTCCAAAATCAAAGATTTAAACTATACATGGAAAAATACAGTGACTGCTTGCAGAAAAAAATGCTTGCACCACGTGTCAGGTATTTCAAAATGTGCAGCATAGCTCCTGTTTGAGGAGGGTTAATGTAAAAAACATTGCCAAAGGGCAATAAATAAACACTGCACATGTATCATTTCTTGCGTCTGTTTTCTGTACTCAAATTAAGACTCACTTTGTCTGTTTTTGATGGATGCCATCTCCTCTGTAAAAGACTGCCCTGTACTCTTAGCAAAGGCCTCTGCAGTAGCACAGTAACCATGGTGGACCAAGTATGTTGACACAATCCTACAATATAACAACAACCTCAAATCAAAATAGAAAGAGAGATAACACAAAAATACATAAACCAGAATTTTGTAAGAAAGAAGGCTGAACAAAGAAACCTTTCTAGAAAAGAAAAGAACCAAGTGTTTTTTTTTAAAGATTATTGGCGAAAGAATGATATATTATTATTATGGTCGTATTAATGAAATGTTCACATTAAAGGTAGGGTTCCACTGTATATCATCACGTCTTTTACCCTGAGATTGAAATTTAAATTCTCATTCGTTGCCCCTTTTGATTCTCTATTGAAAAAGCGGGGAGGTGTTTTCGAAATATTTTAAAAAGCAAATTCTTCTTTGAGTATGTCCTAAATTCTCATGAAAGACACCCTGTTATACAAAGCACTGGTACTAACAGGAGAAATTTGCTCATGAACACACGCTTAAGGATTAAAACAAAAACATTATGATAGTAGTATTAGTATTTACTTTTGTAGTGTTGTCTGCCACAGTCCTTCTTTGTCTGTAAATGGAAATGTTTGTATTGTACGCCGTGTTCTAGCATGGACTTCCTAAAAGCAAAGGCAACAAATTTAAAAGGTAAAAATGTTCAAGTTTTGTTTGCTTTTTTCTCAAGATGATCTTGATGAACTGTCCCAGATCAAATGAGGAAGTGACAGTTTCTGAACTAAAATCTACACTGAATCACCATACCATCTACCTAACACACTAAAAAACTTAATAAAGTCAAGCTCTGCTTCACAGTCACCTGCACAAAATTTTTACATTATTTTAAGAAACCGCTTATCACAGATACCCAGATACTGCAATGAACATATCCAGCTTTAGTGTCTGTTTAAAGCAAGTTCCACTGTCAAAATTCTGCACACACACCTTCATCACTTCCTCAATGTCATACATAAATGGCTTTTGCCCAAAGTTGGCATCAACTACTTCACCAGGAGTTTGGAGTCCAACGGTTGGGTACAAATTTGGCTGTGCAAAAAATAAACAAGGAGAGGAAAATAATTATGTCTAAATATTTCAAGATGGTGAGGGTGTAACCATCAGGTTGGCTCTGGTGTTTGGCTTTTAACTTGAAATTCAACTTAACTTTTAAAAAGCAATGAAAAAAATTATCCTGCTGTTTTTGCCTGCCTTAGTATATATGCTTTATTATTGCCATTGGAGAAATAATTTCTTCATATTTAGGACTTTTTAACCATACTTTTTTGGTTTTTGTTTTTTTAGGCATAGGATAACTTGGAAAATGCAGTTAATTGAAGGCATTAGCTTGACTTATGAATAAGCCTGTTTAATTTTCCTTACAGATTGAAATCGTAGCGAAAGGCAAGCACATTACCACTTCAATACAGTTTCTGCAGTCACTACAGCAGCCTATGAATCCCAGATAGAAAATCACATCATAACCGTAAATTCTGTATTAAGCCCCACGGAGGGCGGAATGATTTAACTAAGCATAAGGAACTAGAATGCAAAAAGGAAAATCTTAAGAACAAGAATGTTTGAGGTTATGCACCTGAAGATCAAAAACAAATCCAATCTTTCGACACATGAATAAGCCATACTGGATCAGTCCAGATGAAGTATCACAGTCCTGATTATCTAATACAGTCTATCATTTATTTTTTTTATTGTGAAGAATAATAAGGGGAAGGGAGGGCTTAAAAGAAGGGGAGCTTATAAACTTTCTTTCCCTGAAAAGGAGGGGGCTTATCAAAATGAAGACTAATATAATTTGGCAGGAGGGCTTAATTAATAGAGAATTAACAATAATCTTAATTTTGAGTTTGCCTTGACAGTATGCAACATATGAAGATAATGTTATGGGATATGTAGGGAACTTCACAAGAAATCAAGGAATCTTATTTCTGAAATCAAACTTTGCTCATGTTTTGAGATACGTGTAAAAACTATGTATACTGTAAGCCTAATACAAACAGTTGTAAGCTGTTATGGGTGGAAATTTACAAGTTATGCCTGCTTCAAACGTAATAACATCTCTGACATCTAGCAACCTAAGCTGTGCATATTACAAGATGACAGGCCCTTCAATAAATAACACTAGTTCTAAACAATGACACAGAAATTTTGCAACTTACTGGTAAATCTGTGAAGGCTATTCCTGAAGAAAAAAATTTACATATAATATTATTACAATATTTACACTTTCAAAGGAGATTAAATGGCAAAAACAAATCACTATGTAAAGTCTACCAAACAACTCAAAATGCAAAAGTTACCAAGGTTAACTCCATTTTTTGTGTAAAAACAAGTGTTGTCGATGAGATTGACACCACAGCCAATGACATCTCCTGTTGTAAAGGTAGGCCCATAAGGCTTTCCATTCCCAGAAGAACAGAATGAGTGACCATCATCTCCATGATAGCCATAAGAATTCTTCTCCCAACCTAAAAGTTGATAAGACAGTCATAAATTATCGTAAACTGCCGCTTATAAGCCGCTCCTCTTATAAGCCCTCAGTTAAAGGCCCATCTACCAGTAAAAAAAAAAACACATTTGATTATAAGCTCCAACCCCCCTCCCCCCTGCACCCCCACCCCCACCCCCAGAGAGAAGCCCCCCTTTAACTTGTTTTAAAATGAATTTGATAATTTTGAAACTTAATTAAAAACCAGTGGAAAAAAATGTATTTTGATCAGTACTACTGTAAATGTAGCTTGTTGTGAAGTGCTTGTTCTTTTCCAGTTACAAGCCCCCTAGGATACCGTAAAATTCAGAAAAAAAGCCCCTCCATGTATAAGCCCCTCCAAATTTAAGCCCCCCAAACAGGTAACGCAAAAAACCTTCCGTTAAATCGCCCCTCCAAATATAAGCCCCCCGGGGGCTTGTACTTGAAAAACTGCCCTCAAATAGAAAGTAAAACAAAGCAAAAACGGGAAATTTACTTCCAACTATACCGATTTTGAAACGCAAATTTCCCTCCGTAGATAAGCCCCTCCGAATATAGGCCCCTCCAAAAATAAGCCCCTCCAAAATAGCCTTTGAAAAATATAAGCCCCGGGGCTTATTTTCGGAATTTTACGGTATAAGATGTATAAACCCAGGACTTATAAGCAACAGTTTATAGTACGATGATTCCCTATATGCAACTGTTCCTTCACAACATGAAAGGATGGATTCTTTGGGTTTATTCATAGTTAAAGACATTTGATTCATTACAAAGGTTTTCATTAAAGTAAATGAAATGGGTAAAGGACAATGACAGATTACTTTGAAAGGAATATTGGATAGCAGTCAGTCCATGGTTGTTTGGAAACTATAACTATGACAGGAAACTATAAGGTTGGGTTGAAGGTCTTTGACTTTACTGCAAAGAGATGGGGCTGCATGTTTAAGGATTTATGCAAATTTGTCCAAAATGTGCCCTTGTAAAAGGATTAAAGGGGGTTCCCTTAAAAGAGGTACATCGGTAACAAAAATTTACCTGGTAATCTATTCATGTTGACTCCCTGCGCAGATAAACCAATACCCATGTATCTACCAAAGGAAAAAAAAACAAAAAAAGTACAGAGTTAATGTTAAGTGTTCAAGCAACCAGCCTCTATTTCCATATACCTAGAAGAAGCAAGCAAGGCACATTGTGATGAATTTGAGAACTGCTTTCCTGAAGGCCAAGATACCAATTTAGTTAAAGTATCTGCACCGGCAAATTTTCAACATTTTATTTTGGCCTCAAATCTTTCTACAGTAAGTTCAGATCATGTAATATGCATATCTGGTTTTCTTTTTCGAATATACCTTTGCATTTAGAGAAAATCTACTCAAAAGTTGACCAATTTACTGGAAGTTAAGAACAATTTTCATTTCAGTTACTAAGAAACAAGACTGCAGGAGACACCAGGAGAGCAATTTGACTCCCCTTTTCAGCATCAATTTCGATTGATGCGCTCAACAACTTTACTCACTGCTTGGATTCATTGACAACCTACAGCCGCTGTATGTCCAATTTGATTTTTCTTGCTTCTGTTCAAGCTGTGATGATCTAATATTACTTGCTTCTAGTTAAAATACGTAACATTCTTGAAATATACTCCGTTTTCCAGGACTTATTATTGTGTAAAATTTTTATCACATCGGCGTGCATGCTCACCTGATATATTCTGACAATTTTGCTGGGAGAGTAAAATGTTCTCTAGGTCCTAATCCTCTAGTCTGTTTTTCTACCAATTTCTTTCTCTTTACAGAAGCAACTCTTTTTCGATTTTCAATGAAACTCTCCTTCAATCTTCACTCTTTGGCATGCCACATTGCATTAAAGCTGGCACTGAGTAACACACCTTTTGGAAGTGCATCACACCTAGCAACTGGTCACGTATCAAAATCCAAGGGGGCTATAGAGAGGTTATTTGGCATTTGTTTAGGCTTCCACGAGCATTTTACACAGCAGTGATTCAAAATGGCAGGCAAGAAGGTCTGTGATGGTAGTATCGAGGAAGAACAGTTGATTTTGAGAAGAAAATAAGCTTTTTTACCCTGGAAAAACGTTAATTACAGCGTGACCGATTCACCTTGACTTATGGGAACCACTTTTTTGGAGGAATGGGTTATCATTTCTCTGTGAAATTTGGCAAATACACAAAGAGCATGTTAATGAAGAGATCTGTGTTTGACCAAAGGTTAGAATTGCCGTACAACTGAGTTATTGATGTTCAAATGTGGATCAAATTTTAAAATAGCAAATTGTGCCCTAGAAGGTAGATTAATTGGAGCTGTGCCTTGGTCAAACACAGGATTATTCTATCTTGCGTCCTTATTTGTGTTACATTTCTTTTTTAACAATAACTCTACGGATTCTTCTGAATTTTTTATTTTTCTCTTTCTGTTCCAACCTAGGGGGTAATTAACTTAACACCTTCTGGGTGACATAACATCATTTATTTTGATATGTTTTAGTTCCTCAAGAACAGAGGAATTATCAATATAATAACTATAATAATGTTGCAAAAATATGCAAAATTTGGCGGTGCAGATACCGTTAACTAACAAGGTTTCCTGATGAGCCACCCCAAAATTCAGTTGTTACTTTATCACTCTCTAAAATAGTCGCTTCCCACACAGGTCATTCTACCAGCTATGGTTATAAAGAAGCAATTTTTGCAGACTTCAATTCCAATAATTTGATTGGAACCACTGAACCACCCCAAAATTCAGTTGTTACTTTATCACTCTCTAAAATAGTCGCTTCCCACACAGGTCATTCTACCAGCTATGGTTATAAAGAAGCAATTTTTGCAGACTTCAATTCCAATAATTTGATTGGAACTCTTCCAGTTTTAATTGCTGCCTCCTACTCTCCCAGCTGTTTTTTTTAAATAATTTTTTCACTTTTAGTCAAAAATAGCCAGATCTAACAAATTAAAACTACTGCATTGATTATTTGCATTATATATCAATAAAAACCTGATAAGAATAAAGATACATTATAATCCACTTTCCCTTTTTTCAATAAAATGTAAGTGCTTTAAGCTCTCTCTTTGGCATTGGATTTCATTAAATAATTCTTCCGGCAAATTTTTTCTTAGTTCCCACAGTAGCTAGATTCCTTCTGAAACACCTGCTAAAAAGTCCAATAAGTGAAAAAATAGCCAGAATTATATAATTATACATACCAGTAATAAACTTGAGCATATGGATATTAAATTCATTGTTGTATGTTTTGCTCTCTTATAAAATATCATTGTCTCATTAAAAAAAAAATATTAGAATGATAAGCTTGCATCTATTTCATAACTTACCCATCACGGCCCTTGCTCACTATTCGCACCTCAAAATAATAAATACCACAAGCTGCCGGGATGGGATGAGTGGCTCTTACCGAAGCCGCGTCCTTGTGTGTTTTCCCTACACCTGTTTTTAATACAAAAGAAGGGTTTTGTTTACAGCCAAAAATGCACGATTACCGCACCAGGAGCTAACTTTTAAAAGCTTTAACAATTTTGTTGCTATCCTTTGTTTTCAGACCTGGATAAGGCGCAACTATCGATCGCTATCTGTACGCAGTGATTATTCTTATGCGTTCTCCAACCTCCATGTACGTACCGAAGAAAAGCTTAATGTAAGCGCGCTAGCTTTGGTCAGTTTTGCATTGGATTTCTGATACATTTTTCAAAGATGTCCTTGAACGGCCGTGCTTGCAAACAGATAACTTTATCTTAGACTATCCTGCTTTTGAAATTTCCTATACAAGTTGAGAATTCAGTAAGAGCATTCAGATGATACGCCTTATAATATCAGGGCTCGAGAACTTCGAAGAACACAAAAAATGCTCCATATCTCTCGCCTACCTTTATAGTGTACTTTGAGATTATTTTGTGAAAGTCCAATAAAAGTAAACTTGTCTTTGGGAGACCAAGATCTCGGCAAAGGGGTTTCAGACTCAACTACTTTAGGATATAACAGGGCTATTCGATCAACCTGTTGGCTTGTATCAAAGTTTGAAGAAGAAGAGCTACTGCCCGCCGCCATGTTGCTGTTCGTGCAAGCCATTGCGTCACGAGGGTCTGCAAAGGAGCCTGGGAAACTCCCTGACAGTGCTGGACCTCGAACCTTCAAGGGAAACTGCGAAAAAAGGTTGGAGTTCCCACCATTCATGATTTGTAGGATTAACTGATAAAGAGTGGTAGAATTGATCCATCAAAGAATAATTAATGGAAAATGATGGGAACTATTGCGAGCTACTTTAACGCAGGAATTTTATGGAGGCATCGATTAGCTTGCGATTATTAACTCTCTTCGCCTACACCCCAAACCCCCACCCCTTAGGTTAACTTGCTCTAACGTTTAAAGCTTGATCGCCTCACTTTACTTATATTTCATCTGGCAGATTCTGCCACCAAAAAGCTGGATGAGCTGTTTGAGGAAATCTCGAACGCGTTGGCGGGAAATGACGAATGGATCTACTTGGGGATTGTACCATCACTGACGATTGTCTTCATATTACGTGCAAAACGGATTTTGGCGGGAAAACCACATCTTTGACCGTAAATGTCAACAGGTTAGTAAAGTAAGTATTAAACGCTCTCCACATAGGAGAGTATCCGCTCAGAGAACTTTAACCATAGTATTTTTAGCCCGTTTCGGAATGGCTACTCAAAACTCTGGGCCATCCAGTTATTATTCTGGACATCGCGCGCCAGATTTTAACTCATCTATCAATTTGGAATTACCTAACTTTAATCTTAAATTTAAGAAGAATTCTTTCACTTATTCATTAGCTAAGTTATGGAACAGTTTGCCTTCTCAAGTGCGTCTTTCAAGAGATGCTAATGACTTCAGAAGTAAATTGCACGACTGTAGCTTTTTAGAACGCGTCTTATAGTGCACGATTGTAGCCTTTAACTGTTTTAGAACGAGTATTATAGTTTTCCTAGTCACGTTTTTAGTATGTGGCTTTTTAGTCGGTTTTAGCTTTTTATATTTTATGTTTTTATTACCAAGTTTTTTATATGTATATATTTATTGAGTTGTTTTTAAAATTGAATAATATTATATAGCAGTAGTTACTATAGATTTTATTTATACACGTTCGTATTTTGAACGAGTTTTTTAGCTCTTTGACGTAACGTGTTAAAATAAATGATTGATTGATTGATTGATTGGAAAATAAGGTACTAAATAAAGAAACAACAAAGTAACTATTTGGTTGGCTACTCCCGGCTTAGCGAATATCAATGGCGGATCTTGTAGGAAGGAGCCCCGTCCATTCCCCCTTATCTCACTGCCCCCTCCCCTACTTCCCAACCTATGATAGAGTCTGGATCCACCACCATCGTTACTTACATCCACCTTGGTGAATAATTGTTATTTACTTTGATAACTACGGATTCTCTAATAGCAAGGACACAAATTCTTCCATACTTTATTTCCAAACGTCTACCGTTCTTTCATCGTTTTAACTTGTATTGTAAACCACCAGTCGCCGTTTCCGTCAGTGTATTTAATCTTTGTGTAGTATTGACTCGTAGCCATCATATAGACTGCTTACAGCCGGTCTTTCCCCTGAGGGTCCAACGCGTGTATATGCGAACGTGAACGCAAAAAAGCGGTATGAACTCTCAGGAGCTTTTTCGGAAAATTCCGTACGTTACGCCAGGTTGTCGTCATGAAGTTGTGTTATGTTACTTAGGTTGGTTTTCAGTAGCGACGGAGTCGGAGTCGTAAGAGCGCTTACGAGAGTGAAAATCGAAAATCGGAGTCGTAAGCGGAGTCATAAGCTCTATGTAATCGGAGTCGGAAGAGTCAGAACCTGTCCACTTTATCCCGATTCCGCTTTTGACTCCGTCACTTATGATTTAGCGAAAACTAGATTGTCGGAGTCGCAAGCAGAGGCGGAAGAACAAACCAATCACAATCCCTGGAATTGAGCATTGAGCATTCTCCCCAACATCAGTATAAGTAATGATGCCCTTGACAAGGGAATGGTAAGGAGACCCGATCCCGAAGAGCACGGGCCAGAACGGGGACGAAACCCATTCGAGTACGATAAGGGTACCCACAGCTTTGCAATGCACAAGATTTCTAATAACCCGAGGAACCAGGGACACTGGAGGTACTAACCAATTATTCTCCCCAACCCAGTCGTAACATAAGGCATCGACCCCTTCACAAACAGGGTTCCAACAGCGAGAATAGAACCTATTAAGCTTAAAGTTGTGGGAATTTGGAAAACCGATACACAGAATGGGGGCCCCAGATAGGCCATCCACATGACTGAAAAAGTGTAAGGACATCCCCCATATGTACCAGTAGTCATCGCAGACAATGAACCTGGTAATGGCATCCGCGCGCGTGCTTGTTAAGGGATCTAGGGATCTAGGGACCTAGTCTACCCGCAAATCGATTGTGTTCCAGAGAACTAATCTAAAGATGGACAGGGCGAGTTCGTGAAGATCTCGCTTCAAGTTACCATTGCAAATAATGGAGGCGATGTTGCGATTATCCGTAAACCACTGGACAGTGCAACCGGCTAAGGATCTGGAAAAGCTGGAGAGACAAATGTGGACCGCTTGCAGCTCACGCCAGGTAGAACTGCGGCCTGCCTCCTGAGGGGACCATGGATGGTGGTAAATGAGACCATCGTGCCCTTTAAGAACCCCACCCCCCTCCCCCCCTCCGACAACTAAATCACTCGCGGCACAATAAACAATAGTTCCATTAGTGGAAAAGCGCTGTCCGATAGGCCTACCATTCATAAGCCTAATATTGTCCTTCCAGAAAGTGAGTTCCTCTCTAACAGAGGGGGGCAATGGTAATTTGACATTCCAACCCGATCGAACAACAATAGCCAAGTTAAGGAATTTAGTGATGAGATTGCTGACATTCTCCACCGCCAGGTTGAAAGAATTTATTCAACCGGCAACAGCAGAAAGCTCTCTGGCGGTAGATTGACCTGCTTACCAAAATCGAGACAACGTCGGACAAAACCAGCTTGATTTTCTTCCCTGGAAGAAACTGAAATTTGGTGATTTGGTAAGGTTTTTTCTCTGCGTAAATATGGTATATGCAACTTAGAATATATATCCTCAACAGCATCAACTAGACCCAGGCAAATAGGTAAGGTCAGTAAAAAGTGTTGTGATTTATCTGATATTGTATCAGCCAATAGTGAACATTTTGCCAGAAGGTTTTAACAAATTTACAGTCCCAAAAGAGGTGAATCAGAGTTATATACGACTGATCCCAATCTATCGGATTTTCATCTATTCCGCAATCCATTGTCCATTTTCTCTGGCTTTCCACTAGCGTTCAAACTTAACTCTCTGCCTCTACAGGTACCTGTTAATAAGCCGCAAATCTAAGACGAAACGTTTCTTGCCCGACCATTGTACAGATACAGATAAAGGATTCGCATTATGAGGTATCGAATCCGTTTCAAAAACACGATTAGTGAGTAGCAATTCAGGTATTGCTTCTTCAACGACACCCGCATCGTCTAAGGCAGACTAACAGGGGGCATGGATTTAAAAAAGGAATACGATAACCTGAATCAATTACATCTAAAATATACTGACTGGCACCAATAGATTTCCAAAACTGAATGTGAGTCCTAAGTTACCCGCTACAATTATATTAGAGCTTAAACCCTGCTCATACTCATAGAGATCATGATCTAAATCTAAGTGTTCAGGAGAAGGAATTAGAGACTTATCTCTGACAAGAAGACAAAAATCAATGTACTCAAATTTATTTAAATGCGAGTCTTCTTATAAAGGGTTAATTCTAAATAGAAGGGCGCGCACAAAAGTTGACTCAAGGATATTATAGTGCACATGGAGGCTAATACGAAAACCCAAAAACCCAATGGGAAAAATGGGAACGTATTCCCCAACCAAATGAAGGCGCACCAACCTCTGGGGTTCAGAGCTAGAACAATCTAAATTACAAACAAAAAAGTTTAACGTAAAACTTGAGAAGTTAGAAAGCTGGGATGAATAAATTACAAATGTGAAACCTTATATGCGCCATACAACAAAAGACTCAATTAACGCCATAGCGGCTCACCTGCTTACATACCAATAAGAAAATATTACATTCTCTTTGACTGTCACTTACAGTTTAGTTCCGTCGAATGTAAATACATTTCCTATTTAAATTCACGACTCATACAAAAGAGTGGCTGTGCAGCTCGAACTAGGAGCCGCTGAGAGCACAAAGAACGGGAATCACAGGCCTAAGGAAATGGAACTCGGCCACTAAACGGCTCTCTATGGAGTCCACGACATAACCACCTTTAACGTTTTCCGAACGCCATCTACCGTGTCTCTTAGACATTCTATCAGAAATATCGCCATTAGGCGTGGAAGACGCGCCGCCACTTCTAAAAAAGTTGTGCCAGGAAAAGGATTTAGGATCTACAATTGTAGGCCCAGGTCAACTAAATGTTTTCATTAAACTTCACGACATGTGGTGCATGAAATCTTGGAACCGACGCGGACAAAATGGGTTCCGGATTTCGTTTGTATATAGGGAGAACGAGCTTGGGTTTGGACGAGTAATTGACCAGGTTAGCCCAACGACAAAGATCGGCACCGGTTTTGACAACATGGTACAACGACACCCTCACATACTGATCGGTCTTGCTGCTTTCAATAAATAGCTCAAAGTATGCTGGATCTGGAGTTACATCCTTGAGTCTTAGGTTTGAAAGCGTATCAAGCCTCAAGAAGCCTGCATAAGCAAGGAGTGCCATGTCCATAAACCTCGTATCAACCAAGAAGCCATCCAGGCTCTGGAAGGACTTAAGGAGAATTTCTGTAGTCATCGGCGACTTGTTGGATTTCTGATGCGATACTCTCCGTCGGGCAGATTCCAAAACTTTTTGTGGAAGCTTGTGGATCGTTGGAGACTGGAAACCAGCAAGGTCATGTGCCCACCGGTTGTTGTACACGGCTGTCTGGACCGGAGCCGGAGAAGTAGAAGCTTGAAGGACGCTAAGTAAATACAGAGCCATGTAAGCTGGGGTTGCTGGCAAGACGCTGACCTCAGGGAGCCTAGAGGCCCAAGAACGCCATCGTCTAAAAAGGTACGTAGTTGTTGTACTATCTGCTGTGGAGCCAAGGACCACTTCGGGTAACTAGTTTGCCAAAAGACACAACGAGGGTTTGAACGTGGGTCTCCGAGGATGAACGTGGGTAAGCTCGGACCACATGGGACTGGAATAAACGTCCAGACGGAAAAGAGAGAATTTGTAATCGGAAAATCGGGCCGGGGCCCACAAAAACGGGATATACCAAAAATGATCCCGCGGTTCGCGACCAAGTCAAAGACGATAGGAATAGTATGAAACTACACAACACAAGCTGACACCGAGGTACACAGTAACAAACGAACCTTAAGTCATACGCGGACACCAAAACAACGCATCGGGTACGGAGAATACAAACGGCCACTTAAGGATACATAAGTTCACGAGACGAGAGGCACACACAGCCATCGAGGCGCACGAAAATAAACAGGACT